ATTAAAAATCTAAATACACGGTAAGATTTGGCATATCAAAGAACCCCCATAATTCAATTTTTGTTGAAATCAAACTAAGTTTAATTTTGGACCCTTTGGACCTTAATGTAGACCAATTTAAAAAACGGGACCCAAAATTAAAAATCTAAAAACACGGTTAGATTTGGCATATCAAAGAACCCCAATAATTCAATGTTTGATGAAATCAAACAAAGTTTAATTTTGGACCCATTTGACCTCAATATGAACCAATTTGATAGTGGGGCCCACAAATAAAAAATCTAAATACATGGTTAGATTCAGCATATCAAAGAACCCCATATATATATTCAATTTTTGTTGAAATCAAACAAATTTTAATTTTGGACCCCAATTTGGACCAACTTGAAAACTGGGCCAAAAATCTAAAATCTAAATACATGTTAAGATTCAGCATATCAAAGAACCCCATATATTCAATTTTTGTTGAAATCAAACAAAGTTTAATTTTGGACCCCAACTTGGACCAACTTGAAAACTGGGCCCATAATAAAAAATCTAAACACATGTTTAGATTCAGCATATCAAAGAACCCCAAAAATTCAATTTTTGCTAAAATCAAACTAAGTTTAATTTTGGACCCTTTGGACCTTAATGTAGACCAATTTAAAAAACAGGACCCAAAATTAAAAATCTAAATACACGGTAAGATTTGGCATATCAAAGAACCCCCATAATTCAATTTTTGTTGAAATCAAACAAAGTTTAATTTTGGACCCCAACTTGGACCAACTTGAAAACTGGACCCAAAATTAAAAATCTAAATACACGGTTAGATTCGGCATAACAAATAAATAAATGTGGTCAAAGATTTTACAAATCTAATGCGCCATACTGTGCAATTAAAGATTACTTCTTGAAATTTTTCAATATTTGAAATTTGAAAAAAAAATAATATTTGAAGAATAATTCTTTTTAATTTCTGAAATATGAAATGAGAAAAATTTGACCCCCCACAATTTCTTTTTACCCCCCTCCCCCTTTTTTCCCAAAAAAATTCTTTCCCTCAAGATATGGTCATAATCTCAATTCAAATTTCCAATGGAGTTTGCAACCATAATTACCCATTTAAATTTACCATAGTGCTAATTTAATCTATTTTATAATAGAATTTAAAATATAGTGTCAAATCTTTCATATGGATTTTTTCGTAAAAAAAAAAGATGCAATATTTGCAGATATTTTTACTGGTCTTCCTTTATAAATATGCATTTCTTTAAACATAATTTAAAAACAGTGTAAGGGAAGAAACCAAAACATTGTATTTGGATTACCTCCCTTACACTGTTTTAAATGAAAGAACCTTAGTGAGCGCGCTCACATACCCCACGTCCCCACATTGTCATTGGAGAAATAAAATAAGTGTAAGAAAAAATAAAATGCTCCGCAGGGCGCAGCTTGATACGACCGCAGAGGTCGAACCCTGAACAGTTGGGGCAAGTATGGACACAACATTCAAGCTTGATACAGCTTTGCATTTGGATTGTGATTAAATATTTGACACAGCATAGGTTTCTGACACAGAATGAATGTGGTCTAAGAACTTAAAAATTTTAAATTGGACATTCATCTATTATGGTCCAATATCCAAAATCTAAATACGTGGTTAGATTCAGCATATCAAAGAACCCCAAGAATTCAATTTTTGATGAAATCAAACAAAGTTTAATTTTCGACCCTTTTGACCTCATTGTGAACAAAGTTGATAACGGGGCCCAAAAATCTAATTACATGGTTAGATTCAGCATATCAAAGAACCCCATATATTCAATTTTTGTTGAAATCAAACAAAGTTTAATTTTGGACCTCGATTTGGACCAACTTGAAAACTGGGCCCATAATCAAAACTCTAAATACATGTTTAGATTCAGCATATCAAAGAACCCTAAGAATTCAATTTTTGTTAAAATCAAACTAATTTTAATTTTGGACCCTTTGGACCTTAACGTAGACCAATTTGAAAACGGAACCAAAAATTCAGAATCTGAATACACTGTTAGATTCGGCATGTCAAAAGAACCCCAATAATTCAATTTTTGATGAAATCAAACAAAGTTTAATTTTGGACCCTTTGGACCTCAATGTGGACCAATTTAAAAACGGGGCCCAAAATCCAAAAACTTAATTCACGGTTAGATTCAGCATATTAAAGAACCCCAAGAATTCAAGAATAAAACCCCATTGAAATTGGTCAAGAAATAAGCAATTTATACGAAGTATCTTCTTTTGCACAATACTGTGCAATTGAATATTTCTTGCTATTGCGCAATACTGTACAATTGACAATTTCTTGCTATTGTACAATATTGTGCTATTGGATATTTCTTGCTATTGCGCAATACTGTGCAATTGAAGATTTCTTGCTATTGCGCAATACTGTGCAATTGAAGATTTCTTGCTATTGTGCAATACTGTGCAATTGAAAATTTCTTGCTATTGCACAATACTTATTATATAAAAATTTACACACCCTGTTTGGTGTGTATCTCCTACCATATCATTATTATTTGCTTTTAAATATAAATCAGAAATAACCGACTTAAAATGGAAAATTTTAAAAGAAAAAAAAAAGGAAAAAAAAAAATCCCCCCCAAAAATTTTTTGAACCCCCTTATGATTCATCACCCCCAAACTCAATCCCAGCCTTCCCTTTGTGGTATGGAACCTTGCAGTACAATTTCAGAGAGATCCATACACTTGAACACAAGTTATTGTCTGGAAACTAGAAAAATGTGTTTTTTGGCCCCTTTTTGGCCCTAAATTCCTAAACGTTTAGGGCAATTACCCCTTAACTCAAACCCAGCTTTCCCTTTGTGATATGGAACCTTGTAGTACAATTTCAGAAAGATCCATACACTTACACACAAGTTATCGTCCTGAAACTAGAAAAATGCTTGTTTTTTGCCCCTTTTTTGGCCCCTAATTCCTAAAATATTGAGGCAATTACCCCCATCATCAATCCCAGCCTTCCCTTTGTGGTATGGTACCTTGCAGTACAATTTCAGAGAGATCCATACACTTGAACACAAGTTATTGTCTGGAAACTAGAAAAATGCTTATTTTTGGCCCCTTTTTGGCCCCCAATTCCTAAACGTTTCGGCAATTACCCCCAAACTCAATTCCAGCTTTCCCTTTGTGATATGGAACCTTGTAGTACAATTTCAGAAAGATCCATACACTTACACACAAGTTATTGTCCTGAAACTAGAAAAATGCTTGTTTTTTGCCCCTTTTTTGGCCCCTAATTCCTAAAATATTGAGGCAATTACCCCCATCATCAATCCCAGCCTTCCCTTTGTGGTATGGTACCTTGCAGTACAATTTCAGAGAGATCCATACACTTGAACACAAGTTATTGTCTGGAAACTAGAAAAATGCTTATTTTTGGCCCCTTTTTGGCCCCCAATTCCTAAACGTTTTGGCAATTACCCCCAAACTCAATTCCTGCTTTCCCACCATGGTACAATGGTACAATGTCAGAGAGATCTGTCTGGAAGTTACAAAAATGCTTATTTTTGGCCCCTTTTTGGCCCCTAATTCCTTAACTGTTGGTACCATAACCCCCAAAATCAATCCCCACCTTCTTTTTGTGGTATTGAACCTTATGGTAAAATTTCATTGAGATCCATTCACTTAAACTAAAGTTAGACTGCGGAAACTAATGTGTCTTCGGACAACGACGACGCCAACGTCATACCAATATACGACCACAAAAATTTTTTTGCGGTCGTATAAAAACAATAAAACACAGTTTCAAACCAGGGCTTCCATAACAATCGTATTGTGATTTGACCGATAAATTATATTTATGACTTGTTGTACCGAGCCTGAAACGGACATTGAACATGGGTTTGCCATTTCAACATAATTCAGAAAAAAATTAAAGTTTTCGCAATCTTTTTGACCTGACCTTTTGCCTCAAACAGCCACATTTCCGGTCATAAACGTGACAAGGTGAATAAGTACTTTCAAAACAAACCCTACTTTGATACCCTCTCATTACAATCAAGGTTAATTAGTTGTCTGACAGTTGAAGTTTACTTGTTCAGGTGACAGGTAAACTAATATGTACCGGACATAGGTCTGTCTATTTTAAGTTATTTTCATAAATTTCAGCGGTTTACATCTATTTATTTTAGTCAAAAAGATTTAGATTATCAAAACTACGTATATAAATATAATTTTATGAAAAATTTAAAAAGGTAGCTATAAAGGTTTTAAGCGAAAAATCGTCAGAACCATGTTGTTTGAACTAGTACACATGTGCGCAGGTGTGAGATTTAATTATGCATCCGAATTCTTCAAAAATGCTAAAATTATCATTGATACCTTTATCTAACGTTCTTTTCAAGTATTTTCTGGAAGAAATAACGTGGAAAGAGCTACTTAAACTCAATCGTGCTTTGTTAATGTACACGTATTTTACTTATCGATCGGCGTACGTCTCTGGTCAGTGTTTTACCATTGTCAAGTCATCCTCCGGTATAAGAAAATGTGCCATCTAAAAACAAAAGTAAAGTTTTTGACAATGTAATTTTGCACAAATAAAGATTCTAAGGCAGATATTAGTATGCTAATGTTGCACACTTCGAATGATGCACTGTTAATTTAACAGTCTACGTCAGAACATGGAATTTGTATCAAAAGTCAAGTTTAATATCGTTTTTATGTCTATCATTGTTTATATGATGCCCAACTGATTACCATGATTGTCTTTTGTTACTTAGTCTTACGGGATTAAAATTGGGATAAGACAAAAAAATGTCTGGCTCGCACAAATTTTTTTGGAAGCCCTGTTTCAAACCACTGTGGCCAAACTTGTCAAAACCATAGGTTGTGTTTTAAATTTTTGTAGTAATTACTGAAATCAGCGTTTTCCACCAAATTGTTACTAACAAAAAAAAAACAATATTTAAATCTCAACTAGTTTTTAACTGCAGCAAATCAATAAAATATAAAGATGAGAGTTTATGTTTGTTTTATTTTCTTAGGGCTACTAGGGATCTCAGCAGAGTCTGTTGTTTCAGGGGTCTCTGCAGAGTCTGTTGATTGTCTCTTTTTCAATCCTTTCATTTTTCTTGTCTGTAATTTACCCAAATCCTGTTTCGTCATATGAATTCTTCCTAGTTTACTTCCAAAGGCATCCTGGGAAATATTCTTTTTCTTTCTTGGCTGAAAAATAAATAAAAATAAATTTTGAGCAGTAATTCTGGTAATCTTGAGATATAGTATCAACAACAACAACAATACTTTATTTTAATAGGGTTATCATTCTAAATTTTATCTTCCTTATCAATTTTAGAAACTTAACAAGTTTCCTGTATTTCTGGAAATGAATTTCAGTTGTTCTCGACTAAGTGATGTATCTTATATTTTACATAAATGTTTTTAGGGGCTCATCATTGTCTCTTAACATTTATTACTGCCTTAGTAATGTGGGAGGTAATGGGTTAGATCCCTAGCCGAGTCATACAAAGACTTCAAAACAGGTATTTGCTGCTTCTCCACATTTAGAATTAAGAGCAGTGACTAGTCGGCCTGTTTTTTAGCGACTTACTGTGGCCTCTCCAGGTACTTTCAGGGTTTGTTTATATAAATCATGTGCTACGTCATTATCTCACTTTTAGGCCAGTTTCTGTGTACTAAAATTTAAATACGACACACACCACCTATTCTTAGCCCCATTGCTTTCTATGATAATTTTTTTCATTTTCAAGCATTTAGGGGGGGGGGGGGGGGGGGGGGGGGGGGGGGTCAATATACTGTTATTTACATATCAGCATATCAGAGTGTAATGGTTACCAGAACTTTGGATATACCATACAGGTACTTCATATCTGAGAAACAGGCAATATATGCCTTCATTTTTAGATTTCATTCATAAATTTTTTTATTATTCAAAATTATCAGTCTACAAGGATCACCAGTCTTTCATTTTTCATTTGATACCTCAATTACCAATATATATTTACAAATATGGGTAGGAACTATTTTGTTTTAAGTATGTACTACTTTCCAGTATGTTCTTTTTTCAACCAGGCCAGAGTTGGTGGTGTTATATCTTACACCCTCTATCTATATTATTTGCCCTATACATATGCTATTTCCTGCCAAGTTATCCAACATATATCTTGATGTGCCCCGTGGTTGTCTAAATGTTGTATTGTTTTTGCAGGCTTCTGTGTGATTGTTAGGCTAAATTAGGACAGAAAATGTTTGATTTCGTTGTCAGATTTATTTTATTGATATTACTCCATGGCTTTGTTCTCAATTCACAGTTGTGACGTCACCGTCAGTTAGCAAAAAAATTCCGCTCAATCCAGTCCTAGTCGCTATCTAGAAGAACAGCAATAAAAGCACTGTTTCTTTGCTTTTCGTATTTTTTGCTTTGCTTGTACTGATTTTGTGTAATGAATGGATACCCCATATCCTTTCTTCTCTATTACCTTGGCCTCTCTAGGTACTTTCAGGGCTTGTTTATATAAATCATTGGAAGCTATTTTGGTTCTCCTAAATTACTAAGTCCAAAAAAGAACCAATCTCTGCCAGCTCTATTCTTGTTGTTTTAAGTGACATAGCTTTGCCTCTTTAGGTATGTTTAGGGTTTGTCTATATAAATCATTGGAGGCCATTTTGAAACTCCTCATTACTAAGTCTGAAGAGAGACCCCTCTAGGCAAAGCTCTATTCTTGGTGTTTTAAGTGACTTACCTTGGCCTCTCTAGGTACTTTCAGGGCTTGTTTATATAAATCATCGGAGGCTATTTTGGTTCTCCTCATTACTAAGTCTAAAGAAGGACCCATCTCTGCCAGCTCTATTCTTGGTGTTCTGCTGCCAGACTTTTTCAACATTATCCTGGAGAAAAATCAATAGCACAATTAAATATGTATATTTTGATAAAAGTACATCCATTTTCAGATTCATATTTTTGGAATCATATGTCATTATTTTTAAATAAGGGTGTCAATTTCATAAAAAATGTCTGTCTCGCCTGCGAATGCTGCTGTCAGTGTAAAAGTGTAATGTTGACTTAAAAAGTGAGTCCATATATCAGTAATAAACTGCTTCGCTGAGCGCAGTTGGATACGCCCGCAGAGGAACAACCCTGAACAGTTGGGGCAAAAATGGACACAATATTCAAGCTTGATACAGGTCTGAATTTGGATTGTAATTAAATATTTGACATATTATACTTTATAGGTTTCTGAATAAATGTTGTCAAAGAACTTGAAATTGGTTATATGAATTGAATTTATATTCAATTAAAGATTTCTTGCTGTTGTGCAATACACTATGCTGTTGCGCAATACTTAGTAAATCTGTTGTCAGACTATAAACAAATAAAATTTATAAAATTCTAAAGGGAGCTTACATCAATAGATATAAACAATTCACCAAAGTTTCTTAAGAATTGCTGAAAGCATTTTTGAGTTTTTGTCTGAAAACTGGAAAATCCCCCCTTTTTTAATGAATAAAACCCTATAACTTGGAAATGTAAAATCTAAAATTTATAAAATTCTAAAGGGAGCTTACATCAATAGATATCGACAATTCATCAAAGTTTCATGAGAACTGCTGAAAGCATTTTTGAGTTATTGTCCGAAAACGGGAAAATCCCCCTTTTTTTTATGAATAAAACCCCGTAACTTGGAAACGTAAAATCTAAAATTTATAAAAATCAAAAGGGAGCTCATGTCAATAGATATAAACAATTAACCAAAATTTCTCACAAGTTGGTGAAAGCATTCTTGAGTTATTGTCCGAAAACTAGAAAATCCCCCTTTTTTTAATGAATAAAACCCCATAACTCGGAAACGTAAAATCTAAAATTTATAAAAAACGAAAGGGAGCTCACCTCAATAGATTTAAACAATTCACCAAAGTTTTTATGCAAATTGGTTAAAGCATTTTTGAGTTAATGTCCGACATGTTGATGACGGACGGACGGACGGACGGACAGACGGACAGAGGTATACCATAATACGTCCCGTAAACGGGCGTATAAAAACACAGAATTCAAAAGAAAATTCAAACTTTTTCTTTAGATGCTATTTCATGGTCTTGAAGATTAGTGTCTGTCCAAGTATAAGATTCCATGAAGGTTTACAAATTTAACATGTCAAAAAAATTTAATCCCAGACTGTCTATATATAAAATGTTAACTGTAAAAAACTAAGTCCATCTATCAGAAAAATACTCAAAATAAAAAGTGTATTTTCAAAAGTTTGCTTCAGACACTATCTCCTATTCAAAAAAAGCTTCTGCAAAAGTTTCATAAAATTCTATGAAGGTTTGATAAAAAAATTGATGTGTAACAAACTTTAACCCCAGACTGTATATCTATTTGTTTAATGTAAAAAAAAAAAAAGTCCATTTATCAGTAAAATACGGAAAAAAAATCAAAATTTTGCTATGAATACTATATTTTGGTCATAACTAAGCTTCTGTCCAAATTTCCTAAAATTCCATGAAGGTTTGACAAAGTTATTGATGACTGAAAACTTTAACCTGAGACTAAATCTGAATGTTAACTGCCAAAAAAACTAATTCCATTCATCAGTAAAATATTGAAAAATGAAAATAAATATTTCAAAATTTTGCTCTGTATACTGTATGTTGGTCATAAACAAGCTTCTGTCCAAATTTCATAAAATTCCATGTAGGTTTGACAAAGTTATTGATGTCTAAAAAAACTTTAACCACAGACTGAACCTAAATGTTGCCGATACCGACGATGGAATCTAGAATCGCAATGTCTCACTTACACAAAATAACTTTCGCAGGCTCAACAAAAAGGAAAGTTACAGTCTTAAAAGTCAACAGTGTGAAAAATAGCGTTGTTATGGTTATGTAGAAATTTGTGTAATACATTGTAATTGGAGTGTGAGGCCTCAAGGGATAAAAGTATTTGTACTTATTGAGCTAACCTCTTGAAATAAAGATTATCATCATTATTATTATTGGAGTACTTGCTCAAAACAAAAATGAATGTTAATTCAGTTTTAAATGAATAAAACAAGTGTGTACATTGCAAACCTTACTTCTGAGAAAACTTTCATATCTGATCTCTTAAAAGTGGTAGAAAACAAAGTGTTTATTTTCAAAGTCTCTAAATCAAATAATTATATATTCCCCTAGATACATCCTTACAAGAAATATGATTGTAGGCCACTTAGTAGCTAAGTACTGAACCTGCGATCTAAACCAAGTCAATTGATTGTAGGCCACTTAGCAGTTAAGTTCTGAACCTGAAATCTAAGCCGTCAGGTGATTGTAGGCCACTTAGCAGTTAAGTTCTGAACCTGAAATCTAACCAAAGTCAGGTGATTGTAGGCCACTTAGTAGCTAAGTACTGAACCGGCAATCTAACCAAAGTCAGGTGATTGTAGGCCACTTAGTAGCTAAGTACTGAAACTGCAATCTAAGCCAAGTCAGATGATTGTAGGACACTGAGTAGCTAAGTACTGAACCTGCAATCTAAGCCAAGTCAGATGATTGTAGGACACTGAGTAGCTAAGTACTGAACCTGCAATCTAAGCCAAGTCAGGTGACTGTAGGCGACTTAGCAGTTAAGTACTGAAACTGCAATCTAAGCCAAGTCAGGCGATTGTAGGCTACATAGTAGCTAAGTAATGATCCAGTAATCTAAGCCAAGCCAGGTGATTGTAGGCAATGGAGTAGCTAAGTAATGAACCTGCAATCTGACCCAAGTCAGGTGACTCTATGCCACTTAGTAGCTAAGTAATAATCCTGTTATCTAAGCCAAGCCAGGCGATTGTAGGCTACAGAGTAGCTAAGTAATGATCCAGGAATCTAAGCCAAGCCAGGTGATTGTAGGCAATGGAGTAGCTAAGTAATGAACCTGCAATTTGACCCAAGTCAGGTGACTCTATACCACTTAGTAGCCAAGTAATGATCCTGTTATCTAAGCCAAGCCAGGTGATTGTAGGCCACTTAGTAGCTAAGTAATGAACCTGCAATCTAAGCCAAGCCGGGTGATTGTAGGCCACTTAGTAGCTAAGTAATGAACCTACAATCTAAGCCAAGCCAGGCGATTGTAGGCCACTTAGTAGCTAAGTAATGAACCTGCAATCTAAGCCAAGCCAGGCGATTGTAGGCCACTTAGTAGCTAAGTAATGAACCTGCAATCTAAGCCAAGCCAGATGATTGTAGGCCACTTAGTAGCTAAGTAATGAACCTGCAATCTAACCCAAGCCAGGTGATTGTAGGCCACTTATTAGTAGCTAAGTAATGAACCTGCAATCTAACCCAAGTCAGGCGATTGTGAGCCACTAAGTTGCTGAGTACTGAACCTGCAATCTAACCCAAGTCAGTTGAGAAAACTTAGTAGTTGAGTACAGAAACTGCAATCTAACCCAAGTCAGTTGAAAAAACCTTAGTAGCTGAGTTATTGGTCATTACTTGTAATTTCTGAGAAGAATCTTGTCTTTTATAGCTGTAACACTGATAACATGTTCAACACCAGCTAATCTTATATTCTTTACTGAAGGTCCTCGGAAAAAATCTGAAATTATAAGGTTTGTATTTTAATATCTATTAATATTCTAAGTTACTAAATTTTATACTTTTATTGCTAAGTACTGTGAAAAAATATCTTCACTGTAGTTCAGAGAAAATAATGTAAAACAATCATGACCTATTGGTACTTCAGCTGTCTCTGAAAGAAAGGTGAAATATAACAGAAAGGCAAAATTCATAAGAAGGAAAACAAATTAAAATAGTCCATAACTATACCAAACAGAAGATATCAAAATATATCAAAACTAGGAAAAAACATTAATTCATTAAGAAATCCTGGGGTGTGAAATTTGTATATTTTTAATGAATGACTTATGAGGTGATGATGGTGAGACATCTATATTTAATGAGATAATCTTAACAATAAAATAAAACATTCCCGTTTATTCAGTATTTTTTATGAATGTCCTCTGGTATCTTTTGTCCCTCTTTTATGAAACTTCAATTATCTTATTTTTTTACAAACTGATTATTTCAGAACATGCCATACTTACATGATAATGACCATATAAGAAATTTAATTATATACTAGGAGACAGATTAATAAAAGCAATTTTGCTTGTTTATGAATCCTATTTATTTATTTCATGTATCAGAATTAAATACTATATATTGATTTATTTGAATAAATATTGTTTAAACTAAAACATTCCCTAACATCTCCTAAAGGATATTTCATTCAGATGATAGGAAGGGAAGTTTTTTTCTTCACCTAACATCTACATGATCTAAGGGCTATTCCATCAAAATGATAGGAATGGAATTTTTTTTTTACATTGGTCGTAGGTCATTTGTGATTGAATGTTCATTTGATGTATGCAAAAATTACTTACAGAAAGTATGTAGGTTGACAGGGGATTTTGAAAGCCCTTCCTACCCTTCCACATCATTTTAATGACATGCATGTAGCTCTAAGATATTGTCACAATCTTAAAAATTCAAATTCCAAATATTCTGAGTATATTATAAGAGTTTGGTCAAAATAATTGTTTACTGATGATTACCTATATACTTTTATTTAAGGCCTTTGAGAATACTATTAAGAATTCAGTACAGTATGATTTCATACTGTAGTGGTCTATATACTATTAAGAAATCAGTACAGTATGTTTTCATGCTTTAGTTGTCTATATACTATTAAGAATTCAGTACAGTATGTTTTCATGATTTAGTTGTCTATGTACTATTCTGTTGTACATAATTATAATTTACATTCCTTTTGATTTGTGTGATCTGAATCACCAGTACACATATTGTACTAGAAATGAACATCCTTAACACTAAGGCAGTGTGTGACTAAGTCTGAACACTGGTGACATTTATTAAGATAGAACATAGGTAATCTACAATTACAATATTTGCTTTGTCCTCAATGTCAGAGTGACCAACTTCTTGTTGTAGGCTGATATATTCCTGATGATTGCATCCTTACCATAGTTTATGATTGTAGATCACTTGGTATTTGAAGTCAGAGTGACTTTTTGTGTGAGTCTCCAAGACACCTAAAGATGAATTCTTACACAATGTGATTTCTTTGAAGCTCATATAGTATAGGATATCCGAACAGGGACTTTTAACTTAGTTGAGGTCAATGGACCCAAAAATGTAAGCCTAAAGATGCATCTTTACACTAAGTAATGTGATTGTAAGTAACTAAGTATCTAAGATATAAACTCTACTTAAAATCAAATCAAAGTCAAGAAAGTGTAAAACATAGAAAGGTCAAGTGACTGTATTAAAGACAATGAACCATGAAACATGGGACATGTACCCTTCCTCATACACTACATGTTCAGTCGCTCCTAATTCATCTATAAACCCAATTATATTTCTGTATGGTTCTTTGTTTTTGAGAAATGGCTGCAGACTTGTACACACAAATGCATCTGGACTTAGACAGTACTCCAATACCTTGCTTCAATGTGTCAAAATAAACTAGCTGGGTACATACTAAAAGAAATACTCCCACCTGCTGCCTTATCCTAAAATAAACTGTTATCACAGAGATATGTCTCGCCTTTTTGTAATTTTGATAATGCAAATGTTGAAATTAAAATAGCAATACTTTAACATTTAAGTTATGCAAATATTCAAAGTCGATGAACCATGACTGAAGGTACATGGCTTAACAATCTCCATGGAATGGGATGTGCCAATGCTAATACAACTGCATACCAAATACCATTGACTTAATATAAGTCGTTCCCTTTAAACAAACCTAAACACAAACATTAACTTGTAAACTATGTAAAAGTTTCAAAGTCAATGAACCATGATGAGGGGGTAGGGCTATATAATCTCCATGGAAACAAGACTTGAAAATGCCAATAAATTTGCATACCAAATATCATTGACTTAACATTAGCGTCTCATCTTAATATTATCTAATCACAAACTAATGCATGTAAACTAAGCAAAAGTTTCAAAGTCAATAGACCATGACTGTAAATAAGAATAAGGGTGTTTAATGCTGTCAAATTCACTGTCAAAATTAATAAATGGTACTCTCCCATACATGTGCAGTATAGGAGAAACTTAGAATCCAGATTATATTAAACATAAGTGATGTTCTCCTACTGATGAGTAAACTAACCTATAAAGAGGTTTTTCTGATGAGTAAGATAAACTATAAAGAGGTTTTTCTGATGAGTAAAATAACCTATAAAGAGGTTTTTCTGATGAGTAAACTAACCTATAAAGAGGTTTTTCTGATGAGTAAACTAACCTATACAGAGGTTTACTGATGAGTAAACTAACCTATAAGGAGTTTTTTTCTGATGAGCAAACTAACCTATAAAGAGGTTTTTCTGATAAGTAAACTAACCTATAAAGAGGTTTTTTGGATAAGTAAACTAACCTATAAAGAGGTTTTTTTGATAAGTAAACTAACCTATAAAGAGGTTTTTTTGATAAGTAAACTAACCTATAAAGAGGTTTTTCTGATAAGTAAACTAACCTATAAAGAGGTTTTTTTGATAAGTAAACTAACCTATAAAGAGGTTTTTTTGATAAGTAAACTAACCTATAAAGAGGTTTTTTTGATAAGTAAACTAACCTATAAAGAGGTTTACTGATGAGTAAACTAACCTATAAGGAGTTTTTTTCTGATGAGCAAACTAACCTATAAAGAGGTTTTTCTGATAAGTAAACTAACCTATAAAGAGGTTTTTTGGATAAGTAAACTAACCTATAAAGAGGTTTTTTTGATAAGTAAACTAACCTATAAAGAGGTTTTTTTGATAAGTAAACTAACCTATAAAGAGGTTTTTCTGATAAGTAAACTAACCTATAAAGAGGTTTTTTTGATAAGTAAACTAACCTATAAAGAGGTTTTTTTGATAAGTAAACTAACCTATAAAGAGGTTTTTCTGATAAGTAAACTAACCTATAAAGAGGTTTTTCTGATAAGTAAACTAACCTATAAAGAGGTTTTTCTGATAAGTAAACTAACCTATAAAGAGGTTTTTCTGATAAGTAAACTAACCTATAAAGAGGTTTTTCTGATAAGTAAACTAACCTAGAAAGAGGTTTACTGATAAGTAAACTAACCTATAAAGAGGTTTTTCTGATAAGTAAACTAACCTATAAAGAGGTTTTTCTGATAAGTAAACTAACCTATAAAGAGGTTTTTTGGATAAGTAAACTAACCTATAAAGAGGTTTTTTTGATAAGTAAACTAACCTATAAAGAGGTTTTTTTGATAAGTAAACTAACCTATAAAGAGGTTTTTCTGATAAGTAAACTAACCTATAAAGAGGTTTTTTTGATAAGTAAACTAACCTATAAAGAGGTTTTTTTGATAAGTAAACTAACCTATAAAGAGGTTTTTTTGATAAGTAAACTAACCTATAAAGAGGTTTTTCTGATAAGTAAACTAACCTATAAAGAGGTTTTTCTGATAAGTAAACTAACCTATAAAGAGGTTTTTCTGATAAGTAAACTAACCTATAAAGAGGTTTTTCTGATAAGTAAACTAACCTATAAAGAGGTTTTTCTGATAAGTAAACTAACCTAGAAAGAGGTTTACTGATAAGTAAACTAACCTATAAAGAGGTTTTTCTGATAAGTAAACTAACCTATAAAGAGGTTTTTCTGATAAGTAAACTAACCTATAAAGAGGTTTTTCTGATAAGTAAACTAACCTATAAAGAGGTTTTTCAGTCTTTTATGTTCTTTATCCTGTTCAAATACTTCTCCTGTAAATATCAAACAAGGCTTGGTTCCATGAGAACACTTAGGACCCTGCAAATAAATCAAATCTAAGACATCATTTGGTATCATGAGAACACTTAGGACCCTGCAAATAAATCAAATCTAAGACATCATTTGGTATCATGAGAACACTTAGAACCCTGCAAATAAATCAAATCTAAGACATCATTTGATATCATGAGAACACTTAGAACCCTGAAAATAACTGTATTCTAAGACATCATTTAGCATAATAAAATCTCTAAAAAGGAAATTGCTTGTTTGAAAAAAAAATATTGTGAGTGTAGTAGAAATGGGTAGCCCTTGTAAATAATATTAACTGTAGAAATGTGTTGCCTGGTAAATAATATTGATTGTAGAAATGTGTCGCCTGGTTAATAATATTGATTGAGGAAATGTGTCACCTGTTAATTAATTTTGATTGTAAAAATGTGTTGCCTGGTAAATAATATTGATTGTAGAAATATGTTGCCTGGTAAATAACATTGATTGTAGAAAAAGGTGGCCTGATATAAGTCATTAACTGTTAGAAATTGCTTGTCTGCTTCAAGTGGTTGACTGTAGGGAATAGGTTGTTTTATTTGTTGAATCAATGATCTAGAGCTTGTGTTTCCTATGATAGTTTCCTTGATAGTGGTTGCTACTTGGAAGGAAGCTATTGAACCATGGGTTCCAAATGTGAAAACTGAAGTCATCCCTTCGAATGTTTTAAAGGGGCATTAGCTGTCAAATTCATGTTCACCAATTTGACTGAAATTCTCATATTTGATTTAAAACATACTAAACAAAAATGTGTCCATAGTACACAGATGCCCCACTCACACTATAATTTTCTATGCTCAGTGGACTGTGAAATTGGGGTCAAAACTCTTATTTGGCATTAAAATTAAAAAGATCATATCATAGGGAACATGTGTACTAAGTTTCAAGTTGATTGGACTTCAACTTCAGCAAAAACTGCCTTGACCAAAAACTTTAACCTGACTTGACCAAAAACTTTAACCTGAAGCGGGACAGACGGACGGACGAACGAATGGACGCACAGACCGAAAAAAATAATTAACCTCTACTATCGTAGGTGGGGCATAAATATATACAAATTACAAAAAGTCTAAAACAAACAATTAACTATGCATGAACTCAATAATATGTATCAGCATTTCGTGGATATTTTAGTCAAGGCGCCATCTAATTAACCACCAAGATGACCTCAGAAGACTGCAGACAGTCATATAACCAGATATAAACATAAATATAAATGGATAGAGCACGTGCAGTTGGATTTTTCCAGGTCCGTTTGATTTCATGTTATAGGTTAACAAATACATGTATGTTAATCATCATTTTTACCTGCATGAGAATGATTTTTTGGTGGATAGAACCAGTCAACGAAATGGTTCACCCTTGTTTCACTTTCAATGTTGACATTTTTTTCCTTTTAATAGCTGAACACGCCTAGTACATGCTTAACCCCTCTCCAGCTAAGGGGTTAAATTGAAGGTCACATGAATACAAATTTAATTTAGGTTAAATTATTGACTTGCAAGTCAATAAGGCATCAGCGATGTGTTTCAGCTTATTTTGACAAATTTGGGCCAAACTGACTGCTTATAACAAATTATTATTTCAAAATTCCTCTTTTATTAATACTAGAAACATGAAGAATCGTATTTTAATTTTTGTCAAAATCGTTGCTAATGCCCCTTGAAGGATGCCATCACAAATTGGTTGACCTTTATGGAACATGTGTCACAGATGCTCCCTTTCCTTGAGACTTGTAATATTTATTTGAGGGTGCCAGAAGTAGAGAAGTAACTGCTTACCTCTTTGACAGATCTTAAGTTCATCACCTGTTTTTTTTTTTGTAAGGTTCATGATGCATAATATCTTGTTTTTTGACAGTGTATTGTGGACCGTATCTTGTTGTGGTTTTTTCCTTATGACCGTGATGTTGCTTGTTTTTCTTTGACTTATGTTTTTTTATCACCTGCCTGGTATCTTTTCTCTCTTTTTTGTAACAAAGGAAATGATAAACTTACCTCTATTTCAGCCATAGGCGTAAATTTATCCACACCCAACTCTATCATATCTAACACATGGAAGTCAAATAATCTTCCTACAATATATAAAGTGGTTGTGATAAAAGATGTAATAACCTTTTGCATGGAAAGATGGTGTATTGTATGGTGTATCATAGATAACACAAAAATTCCTACTCACACTTTAAAGACCAAAGCATTTTTATTGCTTTTCTTTATTTCAAAGTGGAAGTCAAAAATTGTTTATAAAAGCTTTAAAATATTTGTTTTCGGTCTATAGCAAAAATATCTTAACTTAAATAAGCAGTTGCAAAATCAGTATTAACCATAGTAAAAGGTAAATAGTAAAAACATAAAATTCATTTAGGAATCGATATCAACTATATATACAAGTACAGTTTTAAAATCTGTGTTATCAAAAATATGAAATAAAACAAATATGGTAATGCTAAAATGCACTCTCAAGTTGACGTTCTTTAAAGGATAACCCATGAAAGCATTTCTGATTATTTCTAATGGGGTCCTTAAAGTGTATATCGCTTAGATTATAAAATTACGAAATTAAGAGGCATGGCATTAATTAACTTTAGTCACAAATAAAGATGCAGATTTACTTATTTATCAGATGTTACTGGTCATGTATTGATTTTACATTACAAGTACTTCCATATTTGATATTTCCTTATCTTTGTGAATATCAGACCTGTACTGTAAATTCTGTATTGTTCTTTATAAAATAAATACTTCTTTTAATAACTGCATATAATATCTATGCACATGGATTGAAATGTAGTCAGATAGTTTTGTCCGGTGTCTTTGACTTTGACTTATTGAGGTTTGACTGTAATGTAAACTATGTACCAGCCATTGAATACCATACCTAATACTAAGTTGTCAGGTCTTTTCTTTGAATGGCAGCCAAACATAAATAGTGATGCGTCAGATTTCTTCGAGAAAAATTCCTAAAATATATTTTGGAATCACACTGTAATGAAACAAACTGATTGAACATCTTATTTCAGGTGTCAAATTGCAGATTGTTTAGCAACTAGACACCAATCTATAGATAACTTAGTCATTCGAATGAGAGCTTAAACAAAGTAATGATACAAGGTATAATTGTTGAACAACTGTTTAATTAGAGGAAGCCAATAATTAAGCAATCCTTCAAATGTTTTGTGTTCAGACAAACCAAGTCATTAATTAAATCTCTGTTCAAATATTGAGTTTTTTGTAGGGTAGTTGTACACATATTGAACAGGCGTTTAATTGTGTAATTTACAACTTAAATGGACTTGGAAGATTCTAGAATAAAATGCTTCGCTGAGCGCAGCCTGATACGACCACAGAGGTCGAACCCTGAACAGTTTGGGCAAATATGGACACAATATTCAAGCTTGATACTGTCTGAATTTGGATTGTGATCAAATTTTTGACATAATATAGGTTTCTGACACAAAATAAATGTGGTCAAAGATCTTACAAATATATTGCACAATACTGTCGATTGAAGATTTCTTCTTGAAACTTTTCAAAAATTCCAAATTTCAAAAATTTTGAAAAAAAAAATATGAATCCCTTAAAAAAAAATCCCCCCCCCCCCCCCCAATTTTTTGAAACTCCCCTTGGAGCAATAACCCCAAAACTCAATCCCAGCCTTTCCTTTCGTAGTATGGAACATTGTAGTACAATTTCAGAGAGATCCATACACTTAAACACAAGTTATTGTCTGGAAACTAGAAAAATGCTTGTTTTTGGCCCTTTTTTGGCCCCTAATTCCTACATGTTTGGGGCAATTAACCCCAAACTCAATCACAGCCTTCCCTTTGTTATATGGAACCTTGTGGTACAATGTCAGAGAGATCCATACACTTACACACAAGTTATTGTCTGGAAACTAGAAAAATGCTTGTTTTTGGCCCCTTTTTGGCCCTTAATCCCTAAACTGTTGGCCCCATAAACCCTAAAATGAATCCCAACCTTCTACTTGTGGTATTAAACATTGTGGTACAATTTCAGAGCAATTGAAATACTTATACACAAGTTATTATCCTGAAACTAGAAAAATGCTTGTTTTGGGCCCCTTTTGGGCCCCTAATTCCTAAACGGTTGGGACCATCATCCCCAAAATCAATCCCAACCTTTCTTTTGTGGTATTAAACCTTTGTAAAAATTTCATAGAGATCCATTCACTTAAACTAAAGTTATTGTCCAGAAACCAATGTGTCTTCGGATGAAGACGCAGACAACGACGACATCATACCATTCTACGATCCCAAAAAATTTTTTGCGGTCATATAAAAATTGGGTAACTAGTATAACCCAACCACATTTAATGCTTCTGCAAAGTCTAGCTGGTCTTAATTTCTTCATGGATGAGTTGGTTGTTATGTTTGGTCCTGTTTATTGTGATGTTTTATATTTTTGATACTTTGGTGTTTTGTTTTCTATCATGAACAGGTGACTATGGTTGGCTCAGTTAAAAATGTTGTACAATATTTTGGTATTATTTTGTATGTGTGTATTTCCTTTTCACAGAAGAACATACAGGTCAAATGGTTGTTGCAGTCTACTTTTGAGTGTTTTTTGATAATTTCAATTTTGTTTCTAAAATATTTACACTGTTGCCATGATCATAATTTTCTTGATCATTTTACAACCGTTTATAACTCACCAGTGGTGTTTCATCTTCAAATGGTCGTAATATATTTTTTCTGAAATTGAAAAAAAGGAGGAAATTCAAGTCAATAAGCAGAAATATATTCATTGCCTTTAACATGTAAAGATAACTACAAAATAAATAATCAATTTAATGAACACTAACTTATAATTAAACATAACAAGAGGCTCTCAAGAGCCTGAATCGCTCACCTGTAGTTTTTTATTTAAATTTTTCATCAAAGTTTTTCTTTAGCTTTTAAGTTTTTAATGTATAATTAACAAGCATTCTGTGAGTATTGCATGGCAATGCATAGTCCCCTACCTGTTAAAAATTCATTGTATTGGAACAAAATTCTAACTTGATCTATAACTTGTCATGGTGTAAACTATATAACAAATATCAAGTCAATATCTTCAAGCATGACGAAAAAAAGTGTTGAAAACTGATTATTTAAGTGAATTTTCTCAGTCCAAAGAACATAACTCTGCACAAAATCATCAGACCGGAACAAAATTCGAACTTGATCTGTAACTTGTCATGACAAAACAATACCCTAAATATCAAATCAATATCTTCAAGCATGAAGAAAAAAAGTATGGAAAACTAATTTGCAGGACTGACGGATGGACAGACAGACAGACGGGGTGCAAACCTAAAGTCCCCTTCGATTTCGTCATTAGGGGACTAATAAGTGTGGACACAAACCAGTGTGGATAGTATCCAGCATTATGAGAGTATTGCATGGCAACTAGGAAAGGTGAGCTAAAAACGATAAACGAAAAGCAAATATGAAACACAGCAACAAATGACAACCACTAATATTATTGGATTTTGAGTTGTGCAAGGACTTAACTCATTGTCAGATTTGCTCAAATTCCTTGGTTTTAGAGATATATGCCAAAATCCACATTTTACTCCTATGTTCTTTTTTTAGCCATGGCGGCCTTGTTTTTTTATGAAACATAATATAAAACACAAACTTTATACTAGATACCCTAAGGATGATTCAGCGTAAGTTTACCTGACATTTTTTCAGTAGTTTCAGAGGAAAAGATTTTTTAAAGTTAACAATCATGATGAACAAATTGTGTAAAATTGCTTTTAAAGGGCAACAACTCCTTAATGGTTCAATTGACAATTTTGGACATTTGACTTATTTGTAGATCTTACTTTGCTGAACATTTTTACTGTTTACAGTTTATCTTGATCTATGATAATATTCAAGATAATAACCAAAAACTGCAAAATTTCATTAGTCAGGGGACTTATTGAAATAAGTGATTTTTAAATCACTTATCTAAGTAGCAAATTCGAAGTTTTGTCACAAATTATGATTTTGTAGTTTTACTAAAATTTTAAACACATAGGTTTAGATAATATCTTTTCATTAGTAAAATTGAAATAAAATGAACTTTTTGCTTCTTTTAAGCAGCAAGGTTTATGCCTTTGATGCAATCATTTAGCTGCAAATTCTATTTTAGTTGAAAAAATGCTATAAAAATGGCTTTACATAATGACCTAATACTTTCTTAACAGATTTTTCACAGCAGTGGGAGTATTTTTCCTGTAAAATTCAAGGTTTCATCTTATAGATGATGTAATAAAATTATACTGTTCGCGATCAAAATTTCACTGTTCGGGGGTGTTGAAATTAGAGGGGTTATTAAAATAATGGTACTTAAAGAAGTGATTTTTTGGAAGGAAATTGAGGTATGATACTTAAACAAGTGATTTTTATGTCATTATCCTTGATTTAGTACAAGGTCATCACCTGACATGACCCGGTCATCCTATCAACACAGATGTTGGTTCTGATAATTTTAGCAACATAATTAGTCCCTGAATCATTTGTATTCTATATTTAAAGCTACAATAAAATTGAATCACTTAGTCTAGTGATTAATTTGTACTACTTAAATAGGTGATTATTAAAGAAAGACAACTCTTACTTCCAACCTTTATGGACATAATGTTACTTGAATCAGTGATTTAGAAAATCACTCATTTAAGTAAGTCCCCTGACTGTTCATTAAAATTATCAATTTAGGGGCAATAACCCAAAAATCGGTTGTCTGATTCGTCTGAAAATTTCAGACGAGGTAGTTCTTGACCTAATGAACACTTTCATATCACGTCAGATTTGCTCTAAATGCTTTAGTTTTTGAGATATAAGCCAAAAACTGCATTTTACCCCTATGTTCTATTTTTAGCCATGGCGGCCATGTTTTTTTACGAAACAGAAAATAATACATAAAATTTATACTAGATACCCTGAGGATCATTTAGCTTAATTTGGTTGAAATTGGTCCAGTAGTTTCAGAGAAGATCTTTGAAATAGTTTACAACGGACGAACGACGACGGACGCCAAGTGATGGCAAAAGCTCACATTTCCTTTTAGGAAAGGTGAGCTAAAAATATAATCTGTACATGTATCTAATATAAACAGGAATACATATATATATATGGTTCATGGTTGGGAATCTTAATTTAACATATAATGATATGAGGGGACAGAGCATGACACCCCCACCCTGACAAATCCATGGTGAACCAGAAAATGTTTGTATCTGTCATGACTTTTTACATAGTTCAGTATTAAATGTTATACATGTTATGTTAGTATGGGCTTATTAAATCTTAAAGCTTCTGAGAAATATGTTACACATGCAGTTATAAAGGGTCTGTTTATCCCATGATTTAAACAGTTAATACATTGACCAGCATTAAAATTACTGCTGCAACAATCTTAAAGCTAGGTCACTTCTTATCTCCAACAATAACTATTGTGTGAGTACTACATCATACTGATTTACTGATCTCCAAAAATAACTATTTTGTGAGGACTACAACATCATATTGATTTACTGATCTCCAACAATAACTATTTTGTGGGTACTACACACTACAAAAGTCTAAAAGTCTGAAAAGACCAGTTTTTGTCTTAATTCGCATGAACTTTTACTCGACATTCTCCAAAAGTATGACTTGTGTCTTAATTTTTCTTGACAAATTCTCATTTATATTAAATTTGTATGAAATTTACTCGACATATTCTCGACATTCTGAATATGGTCTTAAAATTTCTTGACAAATTCTTGACATTTGAATACTGTCTTGAAATTTCTCGACATATTCTCGACATTCTTATTTTTTCTCAGTATGGCTCGACATATTCTGAACATTTTGAATCGTGTCTTAAATTTACTTGACAGTTCTGAGTTTTACAAATCATGACCAATATTCATGATATAACTTTAATCTTTATTTCTCTTTATATGATATACTGTTGTTTCAAGTTACACTTCTTTACAACAAAAATAAAAGTTGGGCATGTAAAATAATTGAAAATTTGGGTATATAAATATTTTTACAAATGCAAATATGGCTATGAAATCTAAAGTATAAAATAATTCAAATGTGGGTGTGTTGATATAAAACAATTTCAATGTGGGTTTTTAAATAATTACAAATTTTGATTCCTAAATCTTATAAATTAAATGATTCAAACCAATCATACTGTAGACATATTTCATTCTACATTCATAATATTCAATGTTGATATGGTAAATAATTATTATACCAAAATGTGGTTTATATAAATAGCAAATTATGATGATATACAAATCATTCATTTAACAGAAGAAAAATTTGTGTAATGTCATCTGTTGGAATATATTAAGTATTACACATGGACAGGATGTTCCCCATAAAATTAAGGTATTCCACACCCCAGAGTACACGCAACTGTCAAATAGAAGTTATTGCTTTACCTGTAATCAGCCATACAACTTATCAATTGACCGACCATGCCACTACAATTTAAAGTTTGTTGATAGATGAAAATGAAAATAATCATTTTGATAAAAAAAAATTGAATTGAAATGGATTTTCTTCATCAAAATTATGAAGTTAATTATTTTAACATAAAAACAAATTGAATAATTCCCAAAGATTAAAAGAAATTTATTATCTACTCCAGGAATAATAAAAAAAATGTATTTATAATGGGTCCCATCAATGATTTCTATAGAAATCATTGGTCTTATGAAATGGTTCTCAAACAGACATGCATAATATAGATCTAAACATTTTTTTCTTTTCAGGAAGGAGTTATCACAAATATTTAATTTTGATAAAAAATTATAAAATTCAACACTCAAATTTGAATAAAAAATGTTTTTGGGTTGTTCTAAAAAATGAATAAGGTTTTTGAATCAAGATGGGAACAAATTCTTTGACCTAAACGAAAGCCCCCCCCCCTCCTTTTTTTAGCCACACAAACCCAAAAGATGAATTGTGGGGTCCAAAAGAGATACAAGACACCTATTTTAGTAAAGCAAATTTGACTGGCAGTTTTGCTAACGGCAAAAATCTAAATGCTGTTTGTCAATACCTTCGACTTATATTCCAAGTGAAAACAATTACTTAAATGTTTAATAAAAATAAATCAAAATTAAACTACATTCAGGGTATTCCAACTTAGTTGCACCAAAAGGGTATCTTACTATACCAAATTAATCCTTGATTCTTCAAAGTTTAGTTTAGCCATAATAAAAAAGAGTATATAACAGCAATAGAATGTCATAAACAGTGCAGAATAAGTCTGTTCACATTTCAGGCGAAATTTATACTGTTGAGATAGTGTCAAGACATATTTAAAACTGTCAAGAATGTGTCAAGACATATTCAGACATTATTTAGAATGTCAAGAATATGTCGAGACATATTCAGACATTATTAAGAATGTCAAGAATATGTCAAGACAGATCGAGACAAATTTAAGACAGTCAAGAATTGGTCGAGACTAATCCAGACTCTTATCAGATGATACAGGGAGTGTCGAGAAATTTTAAGACAATGTTCATACTGTCAAGACACTTGTCAAGAAAAATCAAGAACCTTATTAGACAAATTCATACTATGTCAAGAATTTTTATAATTATTCAGACAATTTAAGAATGTCGAGTAAAAATTCATGCAAATTCAGACAAAAACTGGTCTTTTCAGACTTTTTGACTTTTGTAGTGACATATACAACATCATACTGATTTACTGACCTCCAACAATAACTATTTTGTGAGTACTACAACATCATACTAATTGACTGATCTCCAACAATAACTATTTTGTGAGTACTACAACATCATACTGATTTACTGATCTCCAATAATAACTATTTTGTGAGTACTACAACATCATACTTATTTACTAATAGCTTACCTTTTATACATCACTGCGTGAGGTTTCTTCAACATGTACTGAAATACAAATTATCATACAAATTAACATAAAAGCAAAGTGTGTGTGAGCAATGAAGGGTAAAGATTGCTTTCATTTGCAATTTTGTGAATTCAAAATAAAACATTGAATTGTATTTAGCTAGGCAAATCATAAATTTGAGTTGGAGTTATCTTCCTTTGTACATTTGTAGTAACTCCAGCTTGTAGCAGGCAGGAAGCTGAAAACTCGTTATTTTTTACCTTTAAGTAACATTGTTTAGTGAATGTAAAGATTTTTTACTATAATGCATGCCCTGTAAATAATATTCAAAACTTTTTTATTTTTAAAAATTTTATTAATAACTTTTAAACTGTGACCCATTTTAAATGTACATAGAAGTTATTATTAGTATCTTTGCAGGGATTTAACTGTACATAATGTTATTTTTAAATAGTTAGGTATTCAATTAATAATTTTTATAAGGATTAACCAACCTTAATTCAGTAAGGTTGGTGTACTCCAACTATTGGAGGAAGATATAGAGGAAAGAAGAAAGAAGTTGAACAAGAAAATTCTTCTTGATAAGTATGGTAATTCAAATACATATCATATTGTAACTTGAATATCTAAGTATAACATATCATTGATAAATGGCTTGACATTGACTGGATAGGATCTAAAGAATGATCACTTCACTGCACTATTTTGTTTGAACTATGAAAGGTAGTGATAAACCTTTGAAGATTTAGATATCAATCAGTACCATAGGGTTTTATCACAATCTTTACCCCAAAATAAGGTACCATACAGTTGTATTCTGAAGTTTTAACACTTTACTTTATGTGGAGCAGGATCTGCTTACCCATCCGGATCACCTTAGATCACCCCCAGTTTTTGGTGGGGTTTGTGTTGCTCAGTCTTGTCAGTTTATTTTCGACTTATGAGTTTGATTGTCCCTTTGGTATCCTTCGCCTCTCTCTTACGCTATCCAAGTATAAATAGCAGCTGCTGTGTTTGATATCTGACTTAATTCCTTTATCTCTGACATAGTACAAATACATTAATCTCTGACTAATAACTTTATCTATGACACAGAAATGAGAGTTTTAAATCTCTCACTTATAACTTCATCTGTAACACAGTTATAAAAGTTATATTCCACATGGTCCTGTGGGCCAAGAGAGCTAAAACATAATTAGCTTTTCAAGGAAAGTTTAAATTGGCCAAGGGAGCTAAAACATAATTAGTTTTTCAAGGAAAGTATTAATTGACCAAGATTTTAGAGAAAGATTTATCTCTCTTCCAATATTTTGTGACATAATTCAAGATTTATTTGAAGGATATATCCTTTACCAATACCTTTAAGATCTATGACATATGAACTATATATATGTTGTAATTTTACACTACTGTTAGGGTGAAGGTTAGCGCCTGTTAGAACGTTTAAACCCGCTGCATTTATATGCACCTGTCCTAAGTCGGGAGCCTGTTGTTCAGTGGTTGTCGATTGTTGGTGTGGTTCATAAGTGTTATTTGTTTCTCGTTTTTTATATAGATTAGACTGTTGGTTTTCCTGTTTGAATTGTTTTACACTAACCATTTTGGGGCCCTTTATAGCTTGCTGTTCGGTGTGAGCCGAGGCTCCGTGTTGAAGGCTGTACTTTGACCTATAATGGTTTACTTTTTATACATTGTGACTTGGATGGAGAGTTGTCTCATTGGCACTCATACCACATCTTCTTATTTATATATAGCTTGGTCTCTTACATATATTTTATTCTTGGATATGGTAATTTAAGTTTGATCTCTAACTAATATCTTAATCTCGGATACAGTAATTAACTTTTAATATATCTTACTTGTATAATAATCTTTGATACAGTTGTTAACTGTTATCTCTTACTTGTATCTTAATCTTAGATTGATAATTAACTGGTATCTCTTACTTGTATCTTAATCTTAGATTGATAATTAACTGTTATCTCTTACTTATATCTTTAATCATGGATATTATAATTAAACTGTATCTCTTAGGCCAAATAAAAATATATGTGTGGTTCCCAGGGGTTTCATTATTTTTTTAGACTGGAGGTACCTTTGAAATTATAGGGGGGACCCAACTGAAATGGCGAGGGGTCTGGGGGCCGCTCAAGGCCCCCAGTGGGTCCAGGGCTAGCCCTGGTAGGGGGACCAGTGGGGCGAAGCTCCTGGATTTTAGGGATTCCAGCCTTAATTCTATACTTAAAAAAATAGGGTAAAGTCTGTAATATTTGCTTCAATTTTGGGTAAGTTAACATTGAATTGTTTTTTTTCTAGAGTAATCATCTGAAAATACATTGCTTATAATTATTTTGTAATCAGTTATAAAATATGTATGACCATGGAAGTATTATATTGTCAATATAATACTTCCATGGTATGACCTATAATGCAGGGGTTTCATGTGAAATGTTGTTTAAATGTTTTGTTTGTTTTTATACTTTTATTAAATGTTTTGCATTTGTTCAATTTTGTGAATGAAATTTCATAAGTTACATAGTATATTATTAAAAAAAATTGATAATAAAACTTGTTGTAACTTTTTTTTATTGCTTTGTTATAATCATAGCTGTTTGTGTGATTGTGAAAAAAGGGGGGGGTGGCAAATTAATCATAGGATTCTTGACTATAGTAAGTAAAAATGTTTTTTTTTTCACTTCTTCAGAGCTGTCTTTTTTTTTTTATTTTAGATCTCTTAAATCTCGTCAGATATTATATTTTGTAAACGTAACACTTATGTTAATTCAGATTGTTTCACGAAGTCTTACACTAAAAATTTCAATCACAACATAGAACACATATCGAGAAAACGGAGATCAGAGACAACGTCCAACGGGAAACGAACTGATTTGATACGATTAACGATTTTCTGAATTTCATAGAATGTTCACCTTTATTAAACCTTTTATTCATAAAATAATCTGTGATACAAGCTGCTTTCCTTTTATTAGACATAATATTGCTGTTGTTGTTTAAATTCATCAACAATTTGCCGCTTGAAAATATACTGCTAAATCGTCGCATTTTAAAGCGCTCTTACGATACAGATACAGACACATGGTTTATAATTATCACTTCTCCTACTTTGGAGGTGTGCCTAAATTGGCAGAAGATAGGTCTATACTTTAAAGCGGACCTCGACGAAGACACCTATAAACAAACACATGAACGGCGTAAAACGGAGATTATCAAGGAAAGAAAGAAATTAGATTTGAACGATCGTCAAATGAATTTTACACATTTTTTTTTTGTATTTTTATTTTTTCTGCCGGTACCAGACGCTTCCGTAGGCGGGTAAAAGTACCGGGTACCGGAACTTAATGAATGCACTGGACCGTTCCAGTTACATCCTGTAAAAAAATTAAGTCGGTATGTCGAAATTTAAAAAAAAAAAAATTTTTGGATTGTCAAAATCTAGAAAAAAAATTGTTTATTCACTGAGACTGATTCTGGAATTATACATGCAACTACCGGAAGTTCACCATTTCTATATGTTTGGTTACAAAATCAACAGACATGTTACGTTTTTGTTGCATTCTGTTAAGAATTTGTTGCATTTTAACCATAGTGGATACTTCTATTGCAAATTCTGATGACAGAAGTCTGTGAATGTAACTATTAAAATTCACATTCCACAAAATGAGATCGTTCAAAATTTACTTTTTAGAAATGGAAAAAAAAAGTTCTAGGGTTGGGGGGTTTAAACTAGGGAACTACACATATATTTTTATTTGGCCTTACTAATATCTTAAATCTTGGATGTGGTAATTTTTATTTGGCCTTACTAATATCTTAATCTTGGATAAGGTAGTTGTACTTTTATCTTTTACTAATATCTTAATCATGGATATGGTAATTCAAGTTTCATCTCTTACTTATATCTTAGTCTTGGATATGGTAATTCAAGTTCTATCTTTTATTAATATCAAACACGGATATGGTAATTCAAGTTTTATCTCTTACTTTTATCTTAATCTTGGATATGGTAATTCAAGTTTAACTCTTACTAATATCTTAATCATGGATATGGTAATTCAAGTTTCATCTCTTACTTATATCTTAGTCTTAAATATGGTACTTCAAGTTCTATCTTTTATTAATATCAATCATGGATATGGTAATTCAAGTTTTATCTCTTACTTTTATCTTAATCTTGGAAATATGGTAATTCAAGTTTTATCTCTTACTTATATCTTAATCTTGGGTATGGTAATTTAAGTTTTATCTCTTACTAGTTCCTTTAGTATCTGTGACACAGTAATGCTGGTATTTCCACCTTTGATAAACATGGTTGATTTGGTGTTTTCTGTAATTTTGCCATCTCTGTTCTCTAAAAATCTTCTTCCTTTCTGTGTCTTAGGTTTTCTGTCATTAAAAAACATGTATATGTAGTATATATACTGCCTTAAACCTGATTAATTCAGTATACTGCTGTAAACCTGATAAATTCAGTATACTACCTTTATCCTGATTAATTCAGTATACTGCCTTAAACCTAATTTATACAGTATTCATGTACTGCCTTACAGGTGATTAATTCAGTATAATACCTTAAACCTGATTAATTCAGTATACTGTGTTAAACCTGATTTATTCAGTATACTACCTTAAACCTGATTAATTCAGTATACTACCTTAAACCTAATTTATTCAGTATTCATGTACTGCCTTACAGGTGATTAATTCAGTATAATACCTTAAACCTGATTAATTCAGTATACTGCGTTAAACCTGATTGATTCAGTATACTACCTTAAACCTGATTGATTCAGTATTCATGTACTTCCTTACAGGTGATTGATTCAGTATAATACCTTAAACCTGTTTGATTCAGTATGCTGCCTTAAACCTGATTAATTCAGTATACTACCTTAAACCTGATTAATTCAGTATACTACCTTAAACCTAATTCATTCAGTATTCATGTACTGCCCTAAAGGTGATTAATTCAGTATACTGCCTTTATCCTGATTAATTCAGTATGCTGCCTCTAACCTGATTAATTCAGTATACTGCTTTAAACCTGATTAATTCAGTATGCTGTCTTAAACCTGATTAATTCACTGACACTATACTACCTTAAACCTGATCAATTCAGTATACTGCCATTAATTCAGTTAACTGCCAAAAACCTGATTAATTCAGTTTACTTCCATAAACCTGATTAATTCAGTATACTACCTTAAACCTGATTAATTCACTATACTACCATAAACCTGATCAATTCAGTATACTGCCTTAAACCTGATTAATTTACTATACTACCATAAACCTGATCAATTCAGTATAATGCCTTAAACCTGATTAATTCAGTATTCATGTACTGCCATAAACCTGATCAACTAGTATACTGCCTTAAACCTGATTAATTCAGTATTCATGTACTGCCATAAACCTGATTAAACCTTAAACCTGATTAATTCAGTATACTGCCTTAAACCTGATTAAATCAGTTTACTGCCATAAACCTGATTAATTCGGTATGCTTCCTTTCACCTGGTTAATTCAGTATGCTGATAAAACAGCAAACTCAAAAACTCAAAAGAACAGAAATCTTCAATATGTTTATTGATTGATAAATTGATTCTTCCACGTCCAGTGGCAAATATTTCTTTCATATTCAGGACAACAGCATATATAATTTAATCAATTAGCTCCTGTGAGGTGGATCCAGCAGCATTCAAGGTGAGAAACAATTATTGTGCAGAACACAATATGGATCTCAGGTACATGTAACTTTCATTTTCTTTATAAATAGTTGCAGATACAGAAATAATTCTTTCAAAAAATTCTTTTGAATGTTTAGTCTGCACCTGACATAATATTTGTCTTACAGGTTTAGTTTTCTTAAAACAAAATAGTTATTTCAAATAAGGTGCGTTCATTTGACATATATTTTGTATCATAGTATATTGCTCATCAACTTTCTTGGATAAAAAAATGCAAAAAGCAAAAAAGTATTCTACAATGACTTACAGATAAGATGATGGCCGTCACGAGCTCCAGGACATTATATAAAAAAAAATCCATTTACACACCAATATTATAAACCCACTTCCCTCCAAATTCAAATTTATCTGCAGACAGGAAGTCCATTTTCATTAAACAGAGCAAGCTCAATATAATAAAGTGTGTTACATTTTATGGTTAAGCCAGCTATCAAGTTTCTGGTGAGGTTCTGGCTAAGTTATAGGCCTACAAGAAATGTTCAAAGTTTGCGGTAAACCTGCCGCAGACTGTTGCACATGTTTGCACAAGGGCGCTTCTAGTGGCGAACACTGGTGAACAACTATTAAGTCTTCTGGCAAACTTAAAAGATTGCTGCAAATTTGTCCCAACCCAACAATATTGCAGCAGACCTTCTCTTTTCATATGGGAAACGAATAATAAACATTAATTTGACATTGCCATTCCACTGTGAGAAGACGAAATATTTTACGGTTGACCTACTTGGAAGCCTGTTAAGACCGTTTCGGATAACAGAAATATGTGTGTTATACACCATGTCATAGATAATTTAATATAGATTTATAACACAACAATGAGATAGACATCCAAGAATCGAAATATAAGGGAAGTTTGCGACAGAGTGTCATTTTTTTTCTCAATAATATGTGTGAGGTACCTTGTGTTATATTAATGTATATAGGCTTTTTTTTAGATACAAGTGCCTGTGCTTGAACAGTATTGGGTCCGTTCGTCCCCAATACATGTTTGCCCCCCTGGGTTCGTTCGCACCCTATTTTTATTTGTTTGTATTATTAGTTATTTTTTTATTTATCAAAATATTTAAACTTTTATGATTAAATTTCGGGAATTTTTAAATAAAATATTATTTTGATGATTTTAATGATCAATTATTTTTATTACGTATAATTAGTGTTAATTGGTATTGACAAAGCCAAATTTGGTATTATTGTCCTGTGTTTAAAAATCATGATTGTTGTCATAACTAGCTTTCATGTAAATACTGTATGTAGTTAGTTTGGTATGAGTAAACTCAATGAAGATTTGGAATCTTCCGCCTTTCTTTTACAATGTTACAGGTCTTACATGTCTTAGATAAATGAACTTTGCCTTGATCATCACTGGGACACAATAATTTTAATATATTGTATAACAGTCCCAGATCATCATGATTAATTTCGTCCAAATAGTTAATAAAACACTAAAGGAAACCTGTTTACATTTTATATATTATAAATTATGTCACTTTATTTTGAAACAATAAAAAAAACTTATTTATAGCAATACACAAACTTAAACACGATTAGATATTTATTCCACACAAAAACCAATAAAAAGGATGCAAACATGCTAGGGGGCGAACGTGGATGGGAGTGAACGTGATTTTGGGCGAACGGACCCGGATTCTGCATGAACAATGTCAATGTAAAACTGTAAAACCATAAATATTGTACCAAATAGTTAACCGGTTAACTTTTTGGTCCAGCGGCCCAATATTCTGCAATTAATTTTTAATATATTCTTGTAATATATCAATTTAACTTTGATTACACTTTTATTTCATGACCTACACTATTCTTTGCATGACCATTTTCCTGGCCCTCCTTCTGTTGCAGTGTCTGTTTCTTGTTTACAAATTTTCCACGTGTGAATCTAATGTTTGATACAACTTCGGTATGACGTACAAAAAATCCGGATTAGATCAGGCTGACGTAAAGCTGGCTAAACAATAAACGTTTTTACAAAAGTCTTTTACTATTATAAAAGAAAAAACATGAAGGAAAAATACTATTTCAACAGTGTGAATATCTTACAAAAGTAATAAAAAAATATATAAAGATCGTTGTTGTTTTTATTTTTGTCGGTCATTTTCGGTTTTTGTTTAAAATAAAAATTGTCTCCCCTATTTTTGTCAAATACGTCACAAATTTATGAGCACAAAGTTCACATGTTGTCCAAGGCAACCAAGAAGCTTTACTGAACAATTTAGTTAAATTACCGTATTTTAATTGTTTACATACCAAACAGAATTATCAGTGATAAAATAATCGTAAGTTTAAGTGGCATTAGAACATTTGAAATTGTACCTTTTATGAAGGACAATAAATTGGTTGTAAAAGTACAGTAAAGATGTTTTGCACAACTTTTATATTTCTTTTCATGCTCACAACTGCCCATATTTTATGTGATATATTACGGTCCCTTTACTTAAAGGTTAGGTAATTTTTACTTTAGGTTCTATGGCTAGATTTTTGGGTTTGGGAAAGTGTTAGGGTAAGCTACATTAGTAATGATTAAACAGAGTATTAAAACTATTGTCCTCATTAAATGAGGGTAGGAATGCCCATTTTTCCGTCAGGTGTCAAACGGTCATTTTCGGCTACTGTTAGCGTCAAATTAGTTAGAATTTTATCGTGATTCGTCAAAATATCCTTATCGTGATATTATTTAATGTGATTTGTCAAAATCAGTTGATTTTTTTATCGTCATAAGGAAAACGTACATTTTATCGTCATGCACCCAAAATTACCATTAACGTCATTTTGCAAGATTTTTTACCGTTATTTGTCATGAAGGTACCCCCATTAAGACCCTCATCAACATACCCAAAATCAGGTATCATTACATGAGCTTCCAACTGCGGTGCTTTTCCCCGGAAAATTTGACGTCACAAAGAAAACATCTTTATTTCACAAGTTTCTATGACACATTTTTCCCCAAATGACCCCATCTCAACCAGGGCAGTTCATTCATGAAATCGAAATTGGAATTTTTGTATTTTCAGTGAAAAAAATTACAGTGGAGTCCCCTGTGTCCGTGCAGCCTGTGATATCGCGCATTACCTGATTTCGACATATCGACAATGTAACCCAAACAGAATTGGTCTTGTAATTGTTTAAGTCTTCCGAAAGGGCAGAAAACATTAAAATTGAAAAGTTCAAATTTATAATTGCAACCCCATATTTACCCATATTTAGCCATTTTCCATAAAAAAAATTACATCATCAGATAAAATTGGTTTCATTCAAAGTCAAATTTTATCAATATGAAATAAATTTTGCTCCTCATCCTCATGGCAGTCCGTTTGGTTCAAACTGAACTATATTTCATAGTATAAAATCATTCCTGTAAATGACGACATTTTCCCTTTAACCATAGTTGAAATGAGAACTCAATAACATTAATAGACATATTTACACTTGTATGCAAATTGTCTTCCATGACTTGAAATGACTCATTAGTCCCTGCAAAAATTTGCATCACAATTTCAAACATATGATATCACAATTAAAAAGTGAATGTTGCATGATGTCAGAAGGTTATTTTGAGCTAGATCTAAAGGGTAATTCAGAGCAAATTCAGCTAAATACCCAAATTCATTAGTCGACTGAGTTTGATTCAGACTATAGCATTTTTAGGGATTTCTACTGTTCCCTCAAAGAGCTAAAATGTCATGGATCAATGAAGAGCAAAGGAAAGTTATGATTTTTCAAATTTCAATTTTATGTGTATATGACAGATGTGAAAAATTTTGACATTTAAACAAAATGATGTTGTTTATCTTTTTGTACCGTAGATTTGTGTGAGTCAAAAGAAATGTTGACTCATCAAAATTTAACTCAAACTAAGTATATTAATATAAGAGTCATAAAAGTTAATTTGGTTCAAGCAGGGACCACAGATATATTTTTGACTCATGCAGAATTTCAAGTCCACCATATTTGAAACAACAAAGTTGACTGCACATTGAAATTAATATACTTGCATTACAGACATAAAACATTGTCAGTATATTTGTCATGGTGTGTATTTTGAATTATATTTTTGTTAGTGTTTTATTGTATAAAAATATGTTTTACCTTATTTTTAATTCTTAAGGAAATTTAAATGTTTGTATATTGTGAAATCTTTAATTGATTTTTGTTTAATTAATTTTTCTCATCACTGGCATGTATTTGACATGTCACAGTTTGCTCAAAGTAATTTATTTTGAAGTATCAATTGCAATTAGTATGTTACTAGGATATTTTAATGTTTTATCAAAAAATTATAGGAATAGGCTTTGAACTAATTTAATTCTATTCTTACTAATGAGAGTATTATTTACATGTCATGTCACATGGATTAGTTCTTGGTTTTTGTATAAATAGCATTGTGAAATTTTGGAAAAGCAGTCATCTTTTCGGAAATTTCACAACTTTATCTATACTCAACTCTATTTGGTCTCGGAAATAAAAATGTCCTTTTCAAGAAGGTATTTATAATGTTCGTATCAGGGTTGTTTATTTCCAAGAATCGAATGTATTTATATGTCTACATAATTAGGACTGCATAGACTCATGCATGTATGTATGTAACACTCAGAAACGTGTCCTTCCCCCCAAACGTGTCCGATTCCCCCAAACGTGTCCACATTGACGTCACTGAACTGCAAAAATATGTCTAGTTGAAAAAGGCTCCAAAAATTGTCATTTATATAAACGCCCAAAAGTGTCCATTTTTCAATAAACACCCAAACGTGTCCAATCTCCCAAACGTGTCCATATCAAGCTTATTTTCTTTTCCGTTCGGCTATGTTGGATGTAAATGTAAGCAGCCATGTTCAGTTAAATTGTAGATATTAAATCAGATACCTCGTGTAGGGAGATGTCTCTTTCTCTGCGCATTGAAACCTTTGTACCATTTCACTCTTTCATGGTGCCATAAGTTGTATTTTTGAAGGCCACATTTTTTTTTTTAATTTCCGCACATATTATTTTTAACGGCATCGTATTACATATCGAAGATTGAAGTAGTTTCTTACTGAAGTCATAAAATAATTGGTCTTTACTCGCTCTTTAATTTTTTACATGAAAATCCCAACTAGTGATAAATCCTGAATAACCGTAAAAATTTTGGCCGAATCCTAAATTCCCGGTATGATAATACACTTGTAGAACCTATCTACAGTATATGTATTGTTAACATGATGTCGTTCAAATAATGCATGAAATATTTGGCACTGGACGTTATGTTTTTGATCGTGTGCCTTTAGTGATGCTGAAAACCTAAAAATTTATTAAAAAACCAGATAACCCGTTTATGATTTGAAGAGCTTATAAAGTATTAGAACTGTTGACAAACGGGAAGTCAGTTCTGCTGAAAGTCCGCCGTGCAATATTCCGATTAATATAAATTGCACCTTCGGAGTTTAATAGTACAAAATAATTTACATAGTAAACGATTAATTCAACTCTAGAATTATTTGCATGTTCGCTCTAAATGAGTATGAAATACTTGCAACTGAACAATAAGCAATTCCAGTCAAAAGCTAATTCATATGGTACAGATTAAATTTGCAATTATGATAATCATTAAAAACCGGCAATTATGATAATCATTAAAAACCGGCAATTATGATAATCATTAAAAACTGACAATTATGATAATCATTAAAAATACGGTGACCTATAGTTGTTAATTTCTGTGTCATTTGGTCTCTTGTGGAGAGTTGTTTCATTGGCAATCCTACTCCATCTTCTTTTTTATATTGAACTTACTAATGCTAATAAATGACAACTTCATCACCTGTGCCCCCATCATAGAATTGCCGTAAACGTTATTGATTTCATTTAGGACATACATTTAGCGCTAAAAGACGTGAGACGTTCTGGCGTTTAAAAGTGGACACGTTTTGGCGAATAACAATTATCGGACACGTTTGGGGTTATGAAATCAGACACGTTTGGGGAATATTGGATATTACGGACACGTTTGGGGAGAATAGACACGTTTGGGGGAATCAGACACGTTTGGGGGGAAGGACACGTTTGGGAGTGTTACATGTATAATATATAAAGGCAACAGTAGTATACCGCTGTTCAAAAGTCATAAATCGATTAAGAGAAAACAAATCCGGGTTACAAACTAAAATCGATATATACAATCTATGTACGATCCACCAATGGGTCTTCAACACATCGAGAAAATCCTGCACCCTGAAGCAGGCTTCGGCTGGCCCCTAAACAAACATGTATACTAGCTAGTTCAGCGAAAATGGACATCACATTAAACTCGGAAACATATAAATGAACCAAAATTAAAAAAACATACAAGACTAGCAAACGCCAGAGGTTCCTGACTTGTTATAGGCTCAAAAATGCAGCAGGGTTAAACATGTTTTGTGAGATCTCAACCCTCCCCCTATACCTCTAGCCAATGTAGAATAAACAAACACACAGCAATACATATTAATGACTTGTTCATCTATATTCCAGCTTCCAAACAAAGATGGGTCCTTTACCACAAGGAAGTAGAAATCTCCATATCAAGGCCAGTCAAGGTCCAGATATTAACATGATGAAATTTTACATCACACAAAATTCTACCACTTATGGTAGATACCATGAAAAGTTTAAACCAAGAACTGGCAGACACACTGGAACTGGTTACTCTGCCAACTTCCGACCAGCCGTATATTACAACCAACGTCTGGATCAATCTGATAACCCAACTCTAGCGTAAGTATTTTAACTACAGATATGCCTTCAGTTTACTATAATAGTTTATATAACCAATAAAATCCTCTGAGAACAATACCATAACAGCAAATCATAGATTGCAGTCGATCTTTCTATTGATTGTGAACAAGGCGCACGTCTGGCGTGCAAAATTTTAAGCCTGGTATCTACATGTATGATGAGTTTATTTGTATCCTTGATTATTGTTCATAATTTTGAAAGTTAGAAATTATAAATTTTTTTGAATTGTAAATAGAGGCCAAAGATATCAAAGGGACAATCAAAATTCACAAGTCAAGGTCAGAAACAGACAAAACCATGGCAAAAAATGAAAAACTAGACAAGACAAACAATTACTGTCTAAAAGAGACAAACAATAGTCTAAAAGAGACTTGTTTAGAAAACAAAAGATTGAGCAACTTGAAAAAACTATTTTGTTTAGAAAACAAAAGATTGAGCAACTTGAAAAAACTATTAAACAGGATTTTTTTTTTTGTGTGTTTTCACACCATTTTACCTAGTTTTTCAATTCCATAGTTACTGATTTACCCTTGAATTTGTTTGAATTCTAAAAATGTATCTTATATTTACAGAGATATTTGTTCCAAGAACTACCACACAGTAACAGAGTTAGCATTCCAACCATACAAGGAAAATAGTGGTAGAGAACCGTTACCTGGAAATGTCCATCAAGTGGGTTCAGGATTTGTACGACAGAAGCCCATCACATTTCCTAAAGATGCTGATGTAAGTGTTGGGGACTTTAGGGAGCTTTGTATTAGTTCTTATCAGGATTTGTACTACAGAAGCCTATTATATTTCCAAAAGATGATAATGTAAGTGTGGGGGATGGGGGTGGGGATTTGTACAACAGAGGTCTATCCTATATGATTCTCATGTATTAGTGTTGAGGGGACTTAGTGTGTAATCAGGATTTGTACAAAAAACCCTATCTCGCATTTCCTACAGATTCTAATGTAAGAATTTGAGACTAGGGTTTATGACATGTTATTTAGAGGGAGGATGTTTCATCATGTCAATGGTATAACTATTAGTAATTTAGCATCAAGCTTCAACCATAGAGATATTGTTATAATTTGTGAGGTGATGTGTGTTATAATCATGATAATGGAAGGAGAGAACTGTTTCAATAACTGGATTTAATATGAAACTTAGAACATAATGCTGTTCATATCAGACAATTATATGGGATAAGACAGCTTTGAATATCAGAAGGATCATGCAACCCTATAATATAACCTATAGTTGTCTTACTACTTTTAGTCATAAACAAAATAATTGTTCAAACATTTCTGCATGTTAGAGTAGTTTAAGAATTGCACATATTTTATTTTTGTATCAACACACATATAAATATTGCACATAGATTTATAAATAGATTTTTATTATTTTTACACATTTCCTTTTTAACACATTATATTATCACCTCTTCCTTTTATCATAATGTATAGCAAAATTATTTTGAAATGTCCACAGGTTTTTATTTAATAATAATAATAAGATTTGTACCAAAATTATTTTGAAATGTCCACAGGTTTTTATCTAATAATAATAATAAGATTTGTACCAAATTATTTTGAAATGTCCACAGGTTTTTATTTAATAATAATAATAAGATTTGTACCAAATTATTTTGAAATGTCCAGACATTTTTCTTTAACAATAAAAAGATTTGTACTAATATCATTTTGATGGAGGTGTAACATACATCTTACTGTTAAATGATTTGTATGATTTTGCTATATATTATATAACATATTTATATTATAAGGATTTATTGCAAGAACATTTTAAGATGTTCAATTATAACAGTAAACATCTGTAAGAAAAGGATTACGGTATCTTTTGAAATGTTTGAAGGAAATCTGTCTTGTTCACGTAATAGAAAAAGAATAATAAACGGAAAGCTTCCGGTCAAAGAAATGTAGTTATGACACAGGCACAAATTTTAATATATTTTGCATACAACCTGGTCATGTTTTTAAATAAAGAAATAATGCATGTAGCACTTTACATTTTTTTAAGATGAAATGAAAACTCTAAAAATACCTTTTGTAGATGCAAATTTTTACAAAATGCAGGTAAAATTTATTTAAGCCTATCTGTTGACAGATAAGCAAAAACATACATAAAGGGAAGTTCAAAAGCAAATATTGCCATTTCTGATTTAGAAGAGATATATGTGTTTTTGCAGTAAATCCAATATATTGTTTATTTCTAACTTTTGTATTCACATGATTATCTCCCTTTATTCTGGTTAAACATTTGATTATGCATTGTATATGTGTCTGCAAATTGACTGAATTAAATTATTACAATGTTTTATTACTGAGAGCGAGAGAAATTGTTGACATATATATATTTATTTAAAATATTTGGTAATAATTTTCTAACACTTGTACTGGAATCAGCATATATATATTAGATAATATTTGGTTTTCTGGAATTAAATTGTATTAATAACAAATCAATAGTGGTGCCTGAAATTGAATGATATAAAAATGGAAATTGTAAATAAATTATAAGTTTGACAGACAACCTTTTGGCTATGATTTTCTCCATTCTTTAATTTCTAAAGATAGAGATTATATTCATGGAGAATGAATTGCTTCTTGAGAAAGGGAGATAATCTTGCAATTCAAATGCTAGGAATTTTTATTTGCTTATTTTTATTGCATGTTTAGACTTTCTTATTTTAGGTTAAAGGAGTATTTATAGATACTAGGGCTGCATCTGCTCCAGCCAATATTCTGCCGAGATCTAAACCTTTATTGCATAGAATACAAGCAAAAGATCCGGTAGAATTAGAAAATGAGGGCTATGTAAGTTTTTAAAGCTGCAATCAGTGTGACTAATGGTGAACGTATCACATGTTTTGAGGTAGCACTGGAAGAAACAATTACAAGATCAGGAAATTTCTTGATGCTTGAGGACACTGGCACATTTTTACACTCAAGTACACTTTGGATTCTCAGAAAGAGATGATAATACACTGATAATCCACTTTCAGCCCAGTCTAAATTTACAGTACAGTATAACCAGTTAAATAAATCTCTATCTTTATCTGGTATTGAGTGTTAAATATTCAAATAGGGTTTGAATCCAAATTTATTAATAAACATTTTACAACATATTCCCCTTTAGAGGATGATGTCTCTATTCTACTCTTCAGTTTGTTCAAATTGATTCTATGGTTTTTGCTTCGTTCTAGTAAACACTAAGCCAGTGTGAATTGAAATTTTCAAGTGATCCCAAATATTACCATAACCACAGTTATTTAATAGTGTTAAGGTTAGGGCAAATGTGATACTTTCTAGCCAGTTAGTGAGTTACATTTCCAATCATTTTGGTTACTTTTCATATTCATATAATATAGTTGTACAAAAAATTGAAAATTTGCATTCCTTTGCATTGATTCTATCGTTTTTGCTTTGTTCTATTAAACACTAAGACAGTGTGAATTGAAACTTTCAAGTGATCCCAAATATTACCATAACCACAGTCATTTAATTAACACTACTAATTTACAAATGACATTATTATTTTATATTTTTAATTGTAGAACCCTGTAATTTAGATTTTATACCTATGAGGCACTTTTATTATAGTTTTGCACACTTTGTAGTCTTAACACAGTTAATACCTAGTAACACACATTATATGCACATATTCCTCTATGTACACCAGTAATACACATTACACACATATTTTTGTTTTATGTCCAGCAGCCTGTGTGTACGAACGTGTCATTAGTCTAATGAGCCATTAAGTCTTCATTAGCCTAATGCATCATAAAGGCTTAATGAGGACTTAATGACCCATTAGGCTAATGTCACGTTCGTACAACCGGCTGCAGATAGGTTGACTTGATTGCCTGCTTAAAACTGTCATTAAAGATAGTATCCAGCCTGTGATATATATATATTTACTGACTTGACTGTTCATAAAGAGTAACTTTCACTGTGCTAATGCATATTGGAGGAGATCCTATAAATCGGATAAACTTAAAACCATACCCTAACAAATATTTACCTGTATCTTGGCATTGCACAAGGTCATGTTTTTCTCTGACTCTTAATGACGTCTTTACACTAAATCCATTGGATGTTGGATTTGTACTGATTGACATTTTAGTCTTATAGATGCATGATTTTTTTATTAGTTGTTATTGGCTTTTAACTATAGCTGTCAGTAACTGCGAGTACTCTCAGATCTGTAGTTAGTGTCTTTTTGTTGTGTGGATGTATAAGTATCCTGTCACATCCACTCTGTTTTTTGATAGATGTATTTCTGCTTTGTATCCATCTGATGAGTTAAGCTCTTTTCAACTGATTTTAATAGTTTGTTCTTATGTTGTACTGTTACACCACTGTCCCAGGTTAAAAGGAGGGTTGGCGCGCCTTCAAACTAGTTTAACCCCGCCACATTCTGTATGTGCCTGTCCCAAGTCAGGAGCCTGTAATTCAGTGGTTGTCGTTTGTTGCTGTGTTACATATTTGGTTTTCGTTCATTATTTTGTACATAAATCAGGCCGTTAGTTTTCTCGTTTGAATTGTTTTACATTTGTCATTTCGGGGCCTTTTATAGCTGACTATGTGGTATTGGTTTTACTCATTGTTGAAGGCCATACAGTGACCTATAGTTGTTAATTTCTGTGTTATTTGGTCTCTTGCGGAGAGTTGTCTCATTGGCAATCACACCACATCTTCTTATTTTTATATTGATGATATTTTTAACATTGACAAGCTTGTCCGGACCAGGCCTTGCAGTCATAAAAATGCGAGTATGATCATCGTTCTCAGACTCAAAATTGAACCAATCCAAATACTAGATTTTGTGTTTTGAGAAAAAATAATTCCTTGCACCCTGTGGTGAAATTAATCCTGTGGATTCATTACTTTAATAGAGGTCTTTAAAAAAAAATTCTTACAATGTACTTGTCATTTAAGTCTGCTGATACAACTCTGGTTCTGGATTCCCCCCCTGGTTTGCTGTTAGGGGGTATAGGAATATGCTCTGTTTGTCCACCATACTCCCCCCCCCCCCCCTCCCCCAGGTTTACTGTTAGGGGGGGGTATAGGAATATGCTCTGTTTGTCCACCACACTTTCTTGCTGTATGAAATGACTGCATTGTTAAATTAATGTTTTATAAATACTTCCAATAGGAATAGGATGAATGATTTCTCAGAAGGAACAAATTCACCAAATAGTTTAAGTAAAATCATAGTTTTTAGTTCACTTTAAAGAAGTAATTGGGGATTATTGGAGTGCTCCTGTCTTCCAAGTCTGCTTGTGTTTAAGCATCTAAAGCCATTTCTCAGAAAAAAAACAGCAATATAATTTGGTCTGCAAAGTCATCTTGGAGAGACTTTTAGTTGCTTTGATAAAGTTTTTAAAGTTCAGTAAAGTTTATAAAGATCTGAATTCTATATGGTATTAATGATAAGTTGGATATTGTTTTTTGGTAAAATATTTTGACAGAGCTGTTCTCACATTGTTTTGTCATTTTAGGGTCCTCAGTATATGTTATCAGAGACTTCAAAGAGATTCAGGGGAGATCAACCAGATAGAAGTAAGTATTAACACACACATTGAACCATTTGTCTAATGATGTAGGTGATTAATTTAATCTTTATGAAATAATAGATGGCAGTGAACAATTATCTTGAGAAATGATATAGAGCTATATGAGCAATCTTGATTAACATTTTATACTTGACTGACTCAGTGTTTTAGTTAACTTTCCATTTAAGGTAACAACATCCTGTCTGTGAACACCCCACCTCACTCCCTGCTCTGATCACTGGTTTGAACTTTGTATTGTCAGTGATTAAGGTAACAACATCCTGTCTATGAACACCCTACCTCACTCCCTGCTCTGATCACTGGTTTGGACTTTCTAACGTCAGTGATTAAGGTAACAATATCCTGTCTGTGAACACTCCACCTCACTCCTTGCTCTGATCACTGGTTTGAACTTTGTTTTGTCAGTGATTACGGTAACAACATCCTGTCTATGAACACCCTACCTCACTCCCTGCTCTGATCACTGGTTTGGACTTTCTAATGTCAGTGATTAAGGTAACAATATCCTGTCTGTGAACACTCCACCTCACTCCCTGCTCTGATCACTGGTTTGAACTTTGTTTTGTCAGTGATTACGGTAACAATATCCTGTCTGTGAACACCCCACCTCACTCCCTGCTCTGATCACTGGTTTGAACTTTGTAATGTCAGTGATTAAGGTAACAATATCCTGTCTGTGAACACCCCACAGCACTCCCTGCTCTGATCACTGGTTTTAACTTTCTTATGTCAGTGATTAAGGTAACAATATCCTGTCTGTGAACACCCCACCACACTCCCTGCTCTGATCACTGGTTTGGACTTTCTAATGTCAGTGATTAAGGTAACAATATCCTGTCTGTGAACACCCCACCTCACTCCCTGCTCTGATCACTGGTTTGGACTTTCTAACGTCAGTGATTAAGGTAACAATATCCTGTCTGTGAACACTCCACCTCACTCCCTGCTCTGATCACTGGTTTGAACTTTGTATTGTCAGTGATTAAGGTAACAATATCCTGACTGTGAACACCCCACCTCACTCCCTGCTCTGATCACTGGTTTGAACTCATTTATGTCAGTGATTCTGTCTCCACTACCCTACCCAACCTACCCCTTGCATAGAACTCTGTAAGTTATTTATGCTGTACTTTGTATTTTCAGTGGATGTATCAATGAAGACTGTTGGTGACCCTGAGGGTACTGGATTTACACACGCCTATAATGTAGAACCAATCACATATTACCCAGCTGATCCACATAAAAATGATAGACCTGTAAGTACTTATGTAGCTTTATTTACACAATTGTTAAGGAGAACATGCAGAGTTCATATAATAAATTGTTTACATGTATGTGCTATTCATAAATCATTATGTGATACTTATTTCTAATATAACATTTGTTTTGATTTCATCATCTGCATATGTGTAATGTTTTTATGAACAACTTTGTAAAATTTGGATTAATTAATGATTATTGAAATTGTATTTATGCAAACAGAATTTTACAAATTGTCTGATAAAATCAATCCTCCCAAGGAAATAAAAGTTCAACAAAAATACTGAACTCCAAAGCAAATTCAAAAAGGGGAAGTCCATAAACACTGACAAAATTAAACGCTATTAATCAATGGAAAAAGTGAAAAGCAACTGTCATATTCCTGACATTGTACAGGCATTTTTCAAAGAAAATGGTAGGTTAAACCTGGTTTTATAGCTAGCTAAACCTCCCACTTGTATGACAGCTGTTTATAGTTCCTTTGTATTTGCGTGTCATATAGAAGTGCTATCTCCCACTTCATTTTATGTTTATTCCCTTAACTATCATATTTCTGTATACATACAGTCTTAATACATTTGTATATATATTTTTCCATTACAGAGATGGCAGACACACAGACCAACAGGGATTACTATAATGAAGACAGATTTCCTTAGATCTGAATATCCACATGTAAGTAAACTTTTGACCCCTAACCTCTGACTGTGGAAGTCACAGACCTGATTATAAGTGATAAATATAATTAGAAATACAGATAGTTTAGATTTGACTCAACATTTATGTTTAAATAGAACTCAGATTTCGAAGGTACATTTGGCGGCTTAATTGGTCACAAATTCACAGAAGATAGAAAATATATATCATTATTGGTAACAATTTTCTAGATTTCAAAACAAAGTCTTTATATATATGTAAGTTTAAATTTTTGGTTTATGACATGATTTGACATATATATATATATATATAAGTTTTGCATTGGTTATTTTTAGGGAGATGAACCATTACCAAACCTGGCTTCAGGATCTGAGCGAGGTACAGGATTCACAAGAGAAAAAGCAAAACCATTGTATGTCCACAGAAATCCTATTGATGTAAGTATTTGTACATGCTGATGATGCAGCATTGTATGTCCACAGAAATCCATCTTGATGTAAGTATATGTACATGCTGATGATGCAGCATTGTATGTCCACAGAAATCCTATTGATGTAAGTATTTGTACATGCTGATGATGCAGCATTGTATGTCCACAGAAATCCTATTGATGTAAGTATTTGTACATGCTGATGATGCACCATTGTATGTCCACAGAAATCCTATTGATGTAAGTATTTGTACATGCTGATGATGCAGCATTGTATGTCCATAGAAATCCTATTGATGTAAGTATTTGTACATGCTGATGATGCAGCATTGTATGTCCACGGAAATCCTATTGATGTAAGTATTTGTACATGCTGATGATGCACCATTGTATGTCCACAGAAATCCTATTGATGTAAGTATTTGTACATGCTGATGATGCAGCATTGTATGTCCATAGAAATCCTATTGATGTAAGTATTTGTACATGCTGATGATGCAGCATTGTATGTCCACAGAAATCCTATTGATGTAAGTATTTGTACATGCTGATGATGCAGCATTGTATGTCCACAGAAATCCTATTGATGTAAGTATTGGTACATGCTGATGATGCACCATTGTATGTCCACAGAAATCCTATTGATGTAAGTATTTGTACATGCTGATGATGCAGCATTGTATGTCCACAGAAATCCTATTGATGTAAGTATTTGTACATGCTGATGATGCAGCATTGTATGTCCACAGAAATCCATCTTGATGTAAGTATATGTACATGCTGATGATGCAGCATTGTATGTCCACAGAAATCCTATTGATGTAAGTATTTGTACATGCTGATGATGCAGCATTGTATGTCCACAGAAATCCTATTGATGTAAGTATTTGTACATGCTGATGATGCAGCATTGTATGTCCACAGAAATCCTATTGATGTAAGTATTGGTACATGCTGATGATGCACCATTGTATGTCCACAGAAATCCTATTGATGTAAGTATTTGTACATGCTGATGATGCAGCATTGTATGTCCACAGAAATCCTATTGATGTAAGTATTTGTACATGCTGATGATGCAGCATTGTATGTCCATAGAAATCCTATTGATGTAAGTATTTGTACATGCTGATGATGCACCATTGTATGTCCATAGAAATCCTATTGATGTAAGTATTGGTACATGCTGATGATGCAGCATTGTATGTCCACAGAAATCCTATTGATGTAAGTATTGGTACATGCTGATGATGCAGCATTGTATGTCCACAGAAATCCTATTGATGTAAGTACATTTGTACATGCTGATGATGCAGCATTGTATGTCCACAGAAATCCTATTGATGTAAGTATTGGTACCTGCTGATGATGCACCATTGTATGTCCACAGAAATCCTATTGATGTAAGTATTGGTACATGCTGATGATGCACCATTGTATGTCCACAGAAATCCTATTGATGTAAGTACATTTGTACATGCTGATGATGCAGCATTGTATGTCCACAGAAATCCTATTGATGTAAGTATTGGTACCTGCTGATGATGCACCATTGTATGTCCACAGAAATCCTATTGATGTAAGTATTGGTACATGCTGATGATGCACCATTGTATGTCCACAGAAATCCTATTGATGTAAGTATTGGTACCTGCTGATGATGCAGCATTGTATGTCCACGGAAATCCTATTGATGTAAGTATTTGTACATGCTGATGATGCAGCATTGTATGTCCACGGAAATCCTATTGATGTAAGTATTGGTACCTGCTGATGATGCAGCATTGTATGTCCACGGAAATCCTATTGATGTAAGTATTGGTACATGCTGATGATGCACCATTGTATGTCCACAGAAATCCTATTGATGTAAGTATTTGTACATGCTGATGATGCACCATTGTATGTCCACAGAAATCCTATTGATGTAAGTATCTGTACATGCTGATGATGCACCATTGTATGTCCACAGAAATCCTATTGTTGTAAGTATTTGTACATGCTGATGATGCAGCATTGTATGTCCACAGAAATCCTATTGATGTAAGTATTTGTACATGCTGATGATGCACCATTGTATGTCCATAGAAATCCTATTGATGTAAGTATTTGTACATGCTGATGATACAGCATTGTATGTCCACAGAAATCCTATTGATGTAAGTACATTTGTACATGCTGATGATGCAGCATTGTATGTCCACAGAAATCCTATTGATGTAAGTATTGGTACATGCTGATGATGCAGCATTGTATGTCCACAGAAATCCTATTGATGTAAGTATTGGTACATGCTGATGATGCAGCATTGTATGTCCACAGAAATCCTATTGATGTAAGTATTGGTACATGCTGATGATGCAGCATTGTATGTCCACAGAAATCCTATTGATGTAAGTATTGGTACATGCTGATGATGCAGCATTGTATGTCCACAGAAATCCTATTGATGTAAGTATTGGTACATGCTGATGATGCAGAATTGTATGTCCACAGAAATCCTATTGATGTAAGTATTTGTACATGCTGATGATGCAGCATTGTATGTCCACAGAAATCCTATTGATGTAAGTATTGGTACATGCTGATGATGCAGCATTGTATGTCCACAGAAATCCTATTGATGTAAGCATTTGTACATGCTGATGATGCAGCATTGTATGTCCACGGAAATCCTATTGATGTAAGTATTTGTACATGCTGATGATACAGCATTGTATGTCCACGGAAATCCTATTGATGTAAGTATTTGTACATGCTGATGATGCAGCATTGTATGTCCACGGAAATCCTATTGATGTAAGTATTTGTACATGCTGATGATGCAGCATTGTATGTCCACAGAAATCCTATTGATGTAAGTATTTGTACATGCTGATGATACAGCATTGTATGTCCATAGAAATCCTATTGATGTAAGTATATGTACATGCTGATGATGCACCATTTTATGTCCATAGAAATCCTATTGATGTAAGTATATGTACATGCTGATGATGCAGCATTGTATGTCCATAGAAATCCTATTGATGTAAGTATTTGTACATGCTGATGATGCAGCATTGTATGTCCACAGAAATCCTATTGATGTAAGTATTGGTACATGCTGATGATGCAGCATTGTATGTCCACAGAAATCCTATTGATGTAAGTATTTGTACATGCTGATGATGCAGCATTGTATGTCCATAGAAATCCTATTGATGTAAGTATATGTACATGCTGATGATGCAGCATTGTATGTCCATAGAAATCCTATTGATGTAAGTATTTGTACATGCTGAAGATGCAGCATTGTATGTCCACGGAAATCCTATTGATGTAAGTATTTGTACATGCTGAAGATGCAGCATTGTATGTCCACAGAAATCCTATTGATGTAAGTATTTGTACATGCTGATGATGCAGCATTGTATGTCCATAGAAATCCTATTGATGTAAGTATATGTACATGCTGATGATGCAGCATTGTATGTCCATAGAAATCCTATTGATGTAAGTATTTGTACATGCTGAAGATGCAGCATTGTATGTCCACAGAAATCCTATTGATGTAAGTATTTGTACATGCTGATGATGCAGCATTGTATGTCCACAGAAATCCTATTGATGTAAGTATCTGTACATGCTGATGATGCAGCATTGTATGTCCACGGAAATCCTATTGATGTAAGTATTTGTACATGCTGATGATGCAGCATTGTATGTCCACAGAAATCCTATTGATGTAAGTATTGGTACATGCTGATGATGCACCATTGTATGTCCATAGAAATCCTATTGTTGTAAGTATTTGTACATGCTGATGATGCAGCATTGTATGTCCACAGAAATCCTATTGATGTAAGTATTTGTACATGCTGATGATGCAGCATTGTATGTCCACGGAAATCCTATTGATGTAAGTATTGGTACATGCTGATGATGCACCATTGTATGTCCACAGAAATCCTATTGATGTAAGTATTTGTACATGCTGATGATGCAGCATTGTATGTCCACAGAAATCCTATTGATGTAAGTATTGGTACATGCTGATGATGCAGCATTGTATGTCCACGGAAATCCTATTGATGTAAGTATTTGTATATGCTGATGATACAGCTAACAACTTATAATTGTTATAGGATCAAAGAAATTTACAACAAATCATTGGAAATATTATATAGGCCATTTCTTGATAGAATCAAATATGAAAAAATATTAGTAATTGCTTTTACAGAAAAGTGTTTAGATTACAAGGGCCCAAGATAATTTCACCTTAATTACAATGTATTGTATATTGTTATTGTGAGATTTTATTGATATATAGATATTTAGGTTACTTTACATATATTTACGAAAACTCTTTATATTTCTAGGCTTATGATAGAGCTGATGATATTCCTGGTCTCAGATTACAGAGAACAAAGAAATCAGATCCAGCTGATTATCTAAATATGACAAATCCAAACAATCATTCTAGGTAAAACATTTATTACAATTCCTATCAACTATTCTAGGTAAAACTTTATTACAAATCCAAACAATCATTTAAGGTCAAATCATTACTACAAATCCAAACAATCATTTGAGGTATAGGTTTGTTAAAATTCCAAACAATCATTCTAAGTTAAACCATTATTACAATTTCAAAACAATCATTCTAGGTAAAACTTTTTTTTACAATTCCTACCAACCATTCTAGGTAAAACATTCATTACAATTCCTACCAACAATTCTAGATAAAAATTTTATTACAGTTCCTACCACTATTCTAGGTAAAACTTTTATTACAATTCCTACCAACCATTCTAGGTAAAACTTTTATTACAGTTCCACCAACCATTCTAGGTAAAACATTCATTACAATTCCTACCAACAATTCTAGATTAAACTTTTATTACAGTTCCTACCACTATTCTAGGTAAAACTTTTATTACAATTCCTACCAACCATTCTAGGTAAAACTTTTATTATAATTCCAACCAACCAATCTAGGTAAAACTTTAATTGCAATTCCAACCAACCATTCTTGGTTAAAAATTTATTACAATTCCTACCAACCATTCTAGATAAAACTTTTATTACAGTTTCTACCACTATTCTGGTAAAAAATTATTACAATTCCAAACTATTTTTCTAGGTAAAACTTTTATTACAATTCTAAACAGTCATTAAACCTATCACAATCTTACTTTGTGTGCACATGAAGGATGGTGGCCATGTTGCTAATGATTTCAAATGCTGCATATTTTTGCCAGGCAGATGAACAATGCAGGCTGCTGGTAGCCTCTAGTTCATATATGAAAATCATTCTAATATACCAAGTCATATATGTTTTTATTCTGTAATCTGAAAATCAGGTTTTGTTTTAATGATTCAGAACAGTATTGGAAAAATAATATTTTCAGTCATGCTTTGGTTTATTCTAAAATGTTGTTGTATTTCTGAAAACTACTAAAAATCATATTTTCTTTATAGCCGTACCATATAAATGTTAAGTGTTTTTTTTTTTTTTTGTTGAGCCTGCAACATTTATGTCATAAAAGCGAGACATAGCAATCCTAGATTCGTCGGTGGCAGTGTCAACATTCAGGTTCAGTTTGTGGTTAAGGTTTTTTTTGACAATAACTTTGTCAAACCTTCATGGAACTTTAGGAAATTTGGACAGATGCTTGTTTATGACCATAATACAGTATCCAGAGCAAAATTTTGAAAATATTTATTTTCATTTTTCTGTATTTTATTGATAAATGAACTTTTTTAGCTCACCTGGCCCAAAGGGCCATGAAATAGCATCTTAAAAGAAAAAGGTTTTTTTTTTTTTTTGTATTTTACTGACAAATGGACTCACTTTTTAAGTCAACATTACACTTTTACAATGACACCAGCAATTGCAGACGAGACACAGGGTTTCATGGAACCCCTTACCAACATTTTAGTTAAATTGTCATATTATTTCTTTTTCAGCATTACAAAAGATATATTTAAAGGTCAACAAAGGCCAAGTCAAAATGAGGCTGATCGACTGGAGAGAACTGGTGTAGGAAAGCAGGAGTTATCAGGATACAGTGAAAATAATGATAGATTTGTAGGTGTTAACGATGATTATAGACGATTTACAACTCATTACATGACCAGGTAAGGCTACCAGATATACAGGGTAAAAGTCAATGATTATAGAGGATTTACAACACATTACACTACCAGGTAAGGCTACCAGATATACAGGGTAACAGTCAATGATTATAGACGATTTACAACACATTACATGACCAGGTAAGGCTACCAGATATACAGGGTAAAAGTCAATGATTATAGACAATTTACAACACATTACATGACCAGGTAAGGCTACCAGATATACAGGGTAACAGTCAATGATAATAGAAGATTTACAACACATTACTTGACCAGGTGAGGCTACAGATATATAGGGTAACAGTGAAAATAGCAGCCAATAATTATAGACGATTTACAACACATTACATGACCAGGTAAGGCTACCAGATATACAGGGTAACAGTTAATGATTATAGACGATTTACAACACATTACGTGATCAGGTAAGGCTACCAGATATACATGGTAAAATTCAATGATTATAGACTATTTACAACACATTACATGATCAGGTAAGGTTACCAGATATACAGGGTAACAGTGAACGGTAGCAGCAAATGATTATAGTAGATTTACCTCACATTGCATGACAGGTAAGGCTATGAGATATACAGGATGACAGTAAAACTAGCAATTAATAAGGGCCCCACTGACACGTCCATGGTGCCCTTTAGTCATCTGTCCATCTGTCAGCATTTATTTGTCGAAGGTTAAGTCAAGATTGCCTCAATAGATTTCCATAATTTTCATTGACAGCGTTTATACCTATGAAAGGAAGGTCACTTTTTTTTTTTTTTGTGAAATTTGGACTAAAACTGGGGTAAAAAACTTAGTTTTTGTTAAAATCTCACAAATTTTGAGAAAAATCTTGGTGTCTGGCAGAGTTTATCTGACCTTGACCTTATTTACAAGGATCGTTTAAAACGTTTAGTTAATGTGATACTTGTAGCAAAACCTTCATATTACAGACTTTCAACATAAATTCAATCTTGATAAGTAATTCAAAGCAGGCCAGACATTTCAGCATGTGCACTCTTGTCTATATAGATATTAGAATTGAACTGTGCTTAAAAATATATTGATATGAAAACTATATTGACAACATAGCCTTATTTGTATATGTAACAAATTTATTTCTAGGTTCGGTCCAGATCCAACACCTGTAGGAAAAGATCGTGAAGGACATACTCGTGGAGAAATACAACGGCAAAAACCAGATGGTTTTACCAAAAGTACATCTGTCCATTCTTATGGTCAAGACATACACACCACAGATACTCTCAGAAGACTCGAGCCATATGTAGCAAGGTAAGTAATGGGCAATAAAGAGTATACATTTGGATGGCTAAAAAATACAGAATACTTGGAAGGCTGGACAGAAATAATAGCCAGAATTAATCATTTATAGCAGCCATAAGATATAAACAAATCAAGTAGTGTTGGCTGGTAAACCAAATTTCAAATGTCCTAAACAATAACTGGTTAAGCAGACCTTTTTTTAATTCTAATATATTTGATATAAATGTGTATTGAGATCATGTATAACAATGTTATTGGATAAATTTTTAAATGATCTTTGTGGTACTGAATTTGATTTATCAATAGTCCAGTATATTGATTACTTGATTAACAATGAAAATATTCCAATTTAAAAAAATAAGCACAAAGACATCTTTTGATTCAGCATTGGGTGAAATCTAAAGTAAATTTGATTTGCACGATAAAGGTGTATAGAATAAATATATACTAAACAGATATTAGATGATCAAGATTTAAGATTTACATGTAAAATGCTACCTCATCCAAGGCTTAGTCATATTTCAAAAGAAATGCTGGTTCAAAATTTGAGAAATGCAAATGATCTGAAATTGAATTAGTGTAAATAGGTCATACCAGAAACATGCTCAAATCTTAGTAAATTGAATTAGTGTAAATAGGTCATACCAGAAACATGCTCAAATCTTAGTAAATTGAAACACTCATCAAAACTTATCAGACACCAGAGAAAATGAATATTTTCAAGGAAATGTCAACAAATAAAGGAATAACTTCAAAAGTTGGGATGATATTTTGATTACAGTAGTTCTACAGTCTACTCTTGACACAACAAAGAACTATTGTTTATTTATTTATTTTACAGTAGTATTAAAAAAGAGATGTGTTTTTTACACACACAAATTTATCACTTATTCATTTTATTTATAGGAGTATGAAAGCCCGTGATGTGTTTTATGATGACCACACACATGATGCTAAGATGAACAGGAGTTTAACAGTGTTTTGAGCAATGAATGAGTGAAAGAAGGTACATTGCAGTTATAAATAGGACAAACTAAATTGTTCAGTAAAATCGTGAGTTGCTGAAAACTTACATTTTATATTATTATGCGACTGCTTTGTTTTTTTATCTAATAGATACATGTGTCAAATGAATTTTATATTTCTATTGATTTTGTATCATTCTTGTGTCTTTTATTTATGGACATCATGAATGAAGTACTTTACTAGTCTTATTTATACAGAGATCAAATTTAATATTAAAAAAAACCATAATAAAGTTGACATTCTTACAGGAATACAATGAAGTAATCTTAATTATGGTTCAAAATAGATTTTTGTTTACAAGACATTGCCCCCTCATTAAATAATAATACATGCATTGCACACAGGTTAGTAACATCACATGGTTTACCTGGCTGATTTGTGTAAACTGCAACACAAAAGATAATTATTCAAAAAATTCCTTTTTTAATATTTATTTGTTGATAATTTAATGATCAACAATTTTAGAAAGTTTATATGGATGTATATATTGGTCTCTTCTTTATATTCCTTAAATTTATTTGCATATATGTTTATATACTGCAGTTATTTATGTGCAATCTAAGGAAATTTTAATTTTACAATATGTTTTATTTAAAGGGAATGATTATTAAATATAGAAATGCTACTTTATTAGAATTAAAAGAGGATGGTTGAAAAAACAGGTTTCTTGTACTGTGTTTTTCAAACAAAGTTTTATTTAACATTAGACAAATCTGGAGTGGAGTTTTACAGAAGTTGTCCAAACTATTTGCTACAAATTTGAACATAATGTCTGCTTTTTCCTGAAATTAGTTAAAACCCTTTTAATCCTCCTCATTTTTTTTAACTGACAGAAAATCTCTCAGATTATTAGTGAGAATGTTTCTTTGATTACGGTCTCATAAACCCAACATTTCCATTGTAAAAGTTATATATTTGGTCGATGTTCATTTTATATTTTCTTAATCATCAAGTTTTTGACCTACCTCTCTTCAGCAATCCTTTTAATAGTATTTTCTTTGGAACTTCTGTAGTTTAGTTTTTCGTCCCTAGAGAAGTTTTTGAAAATACAAAACAAACTATATTAGAAATGTCTGATGAAGCATCCTTTATATGTTATGTGTATTGCTGTCAAAGAAACAGGGTGGTTTAGTTTCACTGTTTATTGTCATAGAAATAGGGTAGTTTAGTTTCACTGTTTATTGTAAAAAAAATAGGGTGGTTTACTTTCACTGTTTGATATTCATGATAAACAAATTTCGTATGCTGCTTTTTGCACAAATTTGCTGATTTTGAAAATATTTTTCTAACAAGTTATTCAAGATTTCCCTTTTCTTAATTATTTGTGGATGTTTATATAAATTTCTCGTAATTTATATGCTTATGTCAGTAAGAAATGCAAAAAAAACCCCCAAAACAGCATGTGTAAAAACAATATTATTGTAGAAGCATCCACATGCTTATCAAGGGTCACGTAACAAAATAGACTGCAATTTTAGATGTATTTAGAAATGTTTTATCTTTTTTTGGTATTTCATTTACAAATGTATTATATATTTCTCTTACATGTAATATTTTAAATCAGTATTTGAATTATTTGTGATAATACCTTTTGCTGTTAAGTTTGTGACATTCAAATAATTATTTTTATAATGATTTTATGTAATTCTATTTTTATTTTATGTTATTTATACATTGTGTGTAATGACTTTCGTGTCATGTGTTTATTTGTTTATTTGTATCAAGTTTGAACTATTCTGTCTGCTGTATTTTTAATTTTTTTCAATTTAAAATTTTTATATTCTTTTATGCTGTTTAGTAAACTATTGAAAACCATGAACAGTAAAACCTTGTGTTGTAAATTCAGATTTGTTGAATTATTTCAATGTTTCTTGCAAAATTAAATTTGTACCTACATTTATAAATTAAGGGATTGTACCCATTGTATTGTCAGGTGTGGATTAAAGATAAATGTTATATTACTGTATGTATATCATCAATACCTAATGAAAAGATTACCAATGTTTAATATTGAAAATGAAAATATGTTTAATGTCATTTGAAACATTTAAGCAATGTAGGTTGTAATATTATAAAGTAACAACATAAATAAGTAATATTCACATGTCAAAGTCATGTGATTTATCACTTGTCAAAGTCATGTGACATACGGTTTTGTATAATGAATCATGATATGATAATTCGAAAAAATTAAAAAAAAAAGGTATCTGAATTATAATTGTTTTAATACTATGGCCACCTCTTACCTATTGTTATATCAGTCTTTTGGCCAGACCAAGATGGAATGGACCACATTGCATTATGTTTTAGTTGTTTATGATCCAGATTTGGAGGATGCTATTACCTTGATGAGAACTGAAGGTGAATTCTTTATTGGTTTGTAGCCTATGTCTAATTTCTTCTTATATTAAAATGTTTATAATTTATGCTATAAATCATACAACTTCATCAATTGCCAGCCATACCTAAATCATACAACTTCATCAATTGCCAGGCATACCTAAATCATACAACTTCATCTATTGCCAAGCATACATAAGAAATGTTTGTTGACAATTGCCAGGCATACCTAAGAAATGTTTGTTGACAATTGCCAGGAATACCTTAGAAATGTTTGATGACAATTGCCAGGCATACCTAAGAAGTGTTTGTTGACAATTGCCAGGCATACCTAAGAAATGTTTGATGACAATTGCCAGGCATACCTAAGAAATGTTTGTTGACAATTGCCAGGCATACCTAAGAAATGTTTGTTGACAATTGCCAGGCATACCTAAGAAATGTTTGTTGACAATTGCCAGGCATACCTAAGAAATGTTTGTTGACAATTGCCAGACATACCTAAGAAATGTTTGTTGACAATTGCCAGGCATACCTAAGAAATGATTGTTGACAATTGCCAGGCATACCTAAGAAATGTTTGTTGACAATTGCCAGGCATACCTAAGAAATGATTGTTGACAATTGCCAGGCATACCTAAGAAATGATTGTTGACAATTGCCAGGCATACCTAAGGAAGGCATACCTAAGAAATGTTTGATTACAATTGCCAGGCATACCTAAGAAATGTTTGTTGACAATTGCCAGGCATACCTAAGAAATGTTTGTTGATAACATTTTTTGATAACTCTGTCTGCTGATCTTTAGATTTGTAAACTGTTTTATGGTATGTATATCTGCTAATATGTTGGTTTGCCAATATGCTGATAAAGTTCTTTGGTATAAAATAACAGGTGATATTGGGAATATGTCAATGAGACAGCAAAAAAAAACCAAAAATAACCAAAATATATCCAGAGGGCAACACAGTTTTCAACTATATACAGGTGTCCACCTTAGTATCAGGCAAGCTCTAAATTGTCTGGTTTATACAAGTTGAGAATAAATTTTACACAAAACCTCAACGATCTACAATTTGAGGCAGATCAGTTGTCTTTAATAGAAAAGAAAGGATATGGGGTATCCATCCATAACACACAACCAGTATATGCAATCAGGGGGCACATCAAGATATATTTTAGATAACTTGACAGGAAGCAATGTATGTATAGGGCAAATAATTCAGGTAGACTTTGTAAGATGTAACACCACCAACTTTGGCCCAGTCAAAAAGAACATACTGGAAAGTAGTACATATTTGAAACGAAATAGTTCTTACCCATAGGTGTAAATATCAAACTATGTAGAATATATTTTGGTTATTTAGGTATCAAATGAAGAGTGAAGGCCTGGTGATCCTTGTAGAATAAGTTTTGACTGATAATTTTGAATAATATAAAAATGTATGAATGATGTCTTAAAATGAGGGCATATATTGGTTGTTTCTCGTATATGAAGTACCTGTTTTTGGTATATCTAAATTTCTGGTAACCAGTACAGTCTGATGTGTAAATAACAGTATATTGAACCCGCCCCCATAATTATCGTCTTTCACCATCTTGGATTGTAAAATTGCAGAAAACAATTGATCAGGATCTTTAATGAAATTATAAAATTTTGAGAAAAAATGGAATTCATTTGTCTTTTCATCTAAAACAAAACAATTATGTTCTTTATCTTATTATATCAACTGTTTTTACAAATACAAAATATTTTTTATTTCATTCAATTTTTTTCAACTTAGTCATATAAGGGGAGATAACTCAGAGAATTTAATTTTATACAGAAATGTACAGTACATTTATCTTATTTGTTTTGTAGGAAAAAAATAAGTTGTGCGATTACTGTCAGTATTAAACCTCAGTATCAGATCTGTTTACCCTATGTGACTTACTGTCAGTATTAAACCTCAGTAGCAGATCTGTTTACCCTGTGATAACTGTCAGTATTAAACCTCAGTAGCAGATCTGTTTACCCTGTGATAATTGTCAGTATTAAACCTCAGTAGCAGATCTGTTTACCCTGTGTGATTACTGTATGTATTAAACCTCAGTATCAGATCTGTTTACCCTGTGTGATTGCTGTCAGTATTAAACTTCATTATCAGATCTGTTTACCCTGTGTGATTGCTATCAGTCTTAAATTTCAGTATCAGATCTGTTTACCCTGTGTGATTACTGTCAGTAATTAAACTTCAGTATCAGATCTGTTTACCCTGTGTGATTGCTGTCAGTATTAAGCTTTGGTATCAGATCTGTTTACCCTGTGTGATAACTGTCAGTATTATATTCCAGTATCAGATCTGTTTACCCTGTGTGATTGCTGTCAGTATTAAACTTCATTATCAGATCTGTTTACCCTGTGTGATTACTGTCAGTATTAAACTTCATTATCAGATCTGTTTACCCTGTGTGATAACTGTCAGTATTGAATTTCAGTATCAGATCTGTTTACCCTGTGTGATTACTGTCAGTATTAAACTTCATTATCAGATCTTTTAACCCTGTGTGATTAATGTCAGTATTAAACTCCAATATCATATCTGTTTACCCTGCGTGATTACTGTCAGTATTAAACTTCATTATCAGATCTGTTTACCCTGTGTGATTACTGTCAGTATTAAATTTCAGTATCAGATCTGTTTACCCTGTGTGATTACTGTCTGTATTCAACTTCATTATCAGATCTGTTTACAGTATTAAACTTAAGTATCATATCTGTTTACCCTGTGTGATTACAGTATTAAACTTCAGTATCAGATCTGTTTACCCTGTGTGATTACTGTCTGTATTAAATATGTGATTACAGAATGAACTATAAAGTTTCAGATCTGTTTACCCTGTGTGATTACTGTCAGTATTAAACTTCTGTATCAGATCTGTTTACCCTGTGTGATTACTGTCAGTATTAAACTTCAGTATCAGATCTGTTTACCCTGTGTGATTAGTCAGTATTAAACTTCATTATCAGATCTGTTTACCCTGTGTGATAACTGTCAGTATTAAAATTCAGTATCAGATCTGTTTACTCTGTGTGATTACAGTATTAAACTTCAGTATCAGATCTGTTTACAGTATTAAACTTCAGTATCAGATCTGTTTACAGTATTAAACTTCAGTATCAGATCTGTTTACCCTGTGTGATTACAGTATTAAACTTCAGTATCAGATCTGTTTACAGTATTACACTTCAGTATCAGATCTGTTTACCCTGTGTGATTACAGTATTAAACTTCAGTATCAGATCTGTTTACCCTGTGTGATTACTGTCAGTATTTAGCTTCAGTATCAGACCTATTTACCCTGTGTGATTACAGTATTAAACTTCAGTATCATATCTGTTTACTCTGTATGATTGCTGTCAGTATCAAAATTCAGTATCATATCTGTTTACTCTGCGTAATTACTGTCAGTATTAAAATTGAGTTTCATATCTGTTTACCCTGTGTGATTACTGTCAGTATTAAAATTGAGTATCATATCTGTTTACCCTGTGTGATAACTGTCAGATTTAAACTTCAGCATGAGATGTTTACTCTGCGTGATTACTGTCAGTACTGAATTTGAGTACCAGATCTGTTTACCCTGTGTGATTAATGTTAGTATTAAACTTCAGTACAAGACCTGTTTAAACTTAAGTATCAGATCTGTTTACCCTGTGTGATTGCTGTCAGTATTTAGCTTCAGTATCAGACCTGTTTACCCTGTGTGATTGCTGTCAGTATCAAACTTCAGTATCATATCTGTTTACTCTGTGTGATTGCTGTCAGTATTAAACTTGAGTATCATATCTGTTTACTCTGTGTGATTGCTGTCAGTATTAAAATTCAGTATCATATCTGTTTACTCTGCGTGATTAATGTCAGTATTAAACTTCAGTATCATATCTGTTTACCCTGTGTGATTGCTGTCAGTATCAAACTTCAGTATCATATCTGTTTACCCTGTGTGATTACTGTCAGTATTAAACTTCAGCATCAGATCTGTTTACTCTGCGTGATTACTGTCAGTACTGAAATTGAGTACCAGATCTGTTTACCCTGTGTGATTAATGTTAGTATTAAACTTCAGTACAAGACCATTGTATCCTGTCTGAAGGCAATCAACAATATGTTGTATTTTGTTTGTTTACCCATAAAGTTATGACCAGAACAAGTTATCAATGGCCCCATTTGAAAAAAAAAATTGCTGAAGATCATTGATAAGCATAGAGAGAGATGTCTCAAAATAAGTGGCATTGATTTCATGTCACAAACATAATTGTGTATTGATATATACAGACAAAACCAGCTGAACACCTCCACAGAATGGGTTTGACTGTTCAACTGAATGAAGTGCAGCTATCCATATGTAATAAGTAAGAGTTTATTTAGATTTGACATTTATACAGGTCAATAAACATGAGCTCTAAGTTCGCCTGATGGGTAGACATTTCTTCCTCCACACAGCAAAGTAAGACACAGGTGTGTTTTTGGTTAGTTGCTGTGTGTTGTGTCACTCACATAGACCCAAAATATGAACAAATAGGCTAATAAAATCCAATATATATCATAGATTCCCAGAAGAATTGCTATACTGTGTAGACACCTGTCTATTGGTGAAACCATAAGTTGAGCTATAGATGTCTCTGTTGTTGTCCATTCGTTTGATGTGTTTTATCATTTGATTAGGGAATTCTGTTTTGAATTTTCCTCGGAGGTCAGTATTTTTGTGATTTTACTTTCATATCATTGGGTTCCTATCCGACATCTATCCCACATCTGCTTTTAGACGAACATATTTCTTTACCTGACAAATAATACAATTATATAAGAAAAGACAAATAAAAACCAGAAGATA